GTACTTATACTTTGTGACAAAAAAAAAACCAACAACAACACACATATCTTTTTAGTATCCAAAGCAAGTGATTTCATTTTCAACAGACTCTTTTTTTCCTATGTTGAGGTAGAAAGATTGCTTAGTATTTGTACGATCAAATTAATTTGTTCAGCCACCGCCTATATTTACTTGAAATGAATGTATTCCGCTTGAAATTGATGCTTCAATGTTTCTTTAAGCAAAAGGGAAAAAAAAGAAATTTTAACATCATGTAAAATCTTCGCGAAACATATGTATCAGTGGACTTGCTAGGGTGCAGCAAAAATATAACAAAAAAAATGGAAAGTACAAGGGGTCTTTTCCCAATTATTCGTTCAGTTGGAAATTTTTCGATATTTTCACATATTTTTAAAATCGAGGAATTTTCATGGATAAACTGGCACAACTAAAGTTTAATTGTGCTCATACATTTTGTGAGGGAATCGTACTCAGGAGGTCTCAATGACATTAAAACGTGAATGTCGTCAAAGTTTTTGAAAAATGCTACAGCCTAGTATTTACGAGGCTTCACTTGTCACGCGTGTACACAACCGATATATCTACCGCACTGCCATAGAAACGAAGAAGGAATGAAAAAAAAACAAAGCATGTCAACCGGGAGCAGTAAGCCGAGATAGAATGTTGTGGTCATGTTTATTGGTTGGCGTTTTTATGTACTGATAATTCTATACAATATCAATCGATCGTTTCGATAATAGAATGCAAACAAACATATTTTATTTTCCTTTCTTTCGATCGGCTCGCTCATATAAAATATCTCTCACTGAAGATAACGAACGAAAAAATAATAAGTTGCACACCAAACGTTAAAGTAACTGAATCCGTTGAGAAAAAAAAAAGAAATTCGCATCACGTGAATGTAAGCGGTTTCAAACATTCACAATAATGTGAAAACTGCAACGAGCTGGTCAGATCGAAACACCGATCTCTAAATGCACTTACAAATTAAAGTATGATGCGTGCAAAATGCTGTCCAATGGTTACAGTTTTTGCGTGTTAATAATGTGTGATTTTGAACACAACCATTTCTTTTCCAAGTATCCCGTTATAAGTTTCATTTGGAAGTACATAAATAATCCAATTGACATTTCAAATTATTCGGCATTTTCAAAAAGTCGTCAAATATTTACTTTGAACAACTCTTCCGTTGGCCATAGCTCATGAAAATTTGAAACATTTACATGCAATTCGAAATTGAAAAAATGAAATTTTTTTGAAGAAATATTATCGTTGACAGTCGCCGAAAAAGCATTTTTTAATAATGTAATAAAATAGTCGAAATTATTCTCTAATTCCAATTCAAACTTTTGACCTGTGTTCGTACAGTGTGCGAAACCCGGTTATCGGATTGTTAACGAGCCCATTTATGTGTGACTGTCCCCAACTGCTGTGTACGCTGTGTGCTTGCTCGCAAAACCAAATCACGGCATAAAGAATATATTAAAATGGTGTCAGTGTTGCATGCTGTTTTAGCATTTGGACACCACGACAAAATTTGTTGATCATTGTGAAAAATTGAATTTTTCTAGCTTCAAACTCAGTAAATATGTGAAAAATCGCAATAGAAAAAGTAAATTATACCGATACTAACAAAAATACATCGGAATCTAATTGTTTAGAAAAAACTGATATTTAAATAGTCTTGTTCGGCGGCGCGCCCGTCACCATTACAATTAGGTTTATATATTAAAGTGAAATCCCTGAGCGCAATGCGAGTGAAAAAAGAAGACAGAAAGTTCGACATGATTGGATTTTTGTATGCGATTGGTCCGAATGTCTATCTGGATTACTAACAAACACTCACAGCCAAACGTTTTTCGAAAGGAAAAAATAATAATTCACATTTGGTAATAAAATGCGGAAGGAAACAAACGAGGAATTGAATATAACAATAAAAAACATATGCGAACACACACTTAATTGGCATAATATATTTTATCATCAACGAATGGTCATGTGGCGTTTTTAATTCACAAGATCAGTTGGGGATAGTGTCACAACCATTACTGGCAAATTTACAATTCACACAGAATACTCTACATGACCAAATAAAGGGATTCGATGACAGCTAACTCAACAGAATGTCAAAATTGTAAAAGAGGTCATATGTTGGCATTATCATCGAATAGAAAAATTTAGCTTTTCATAGTTTTCAAAAAATATGATTTTTTTTATTATTATCTTTGATGTTGAATAGGAGCAAAAGAAAATCTAACTTGACTTTCAATAAAAACTATGTAACACCTTTGGTTTGAATTTAAATTTAAATGATTTTTCAAAAATAGTCATTTATTTCGATGCACTACCGGCGTTTTGCAATGAACACAAATCGATCTCAGTCTCATTTCAATATCGCCATGTAAATATGTGTACATTTATTGAAACAGAGACTATTTTAACTGAATAAAATTGCTCTCGATTTTCAATTATCTTTTCGACAATTACAATTTCCCACAAAATTGCTCCAAATAGTCTCTGTGTACTTGTTCACATATCAAGTGGCTACAACATGGAACATAGAAAAGCAACATGCCATGATCTATTAATTGCAAGTGCTCTCATAATACGACACACTTAAAATTAATTGGGTCAATGCAGTTGATAAATATTAAATGTGCTTGTGCTTTGCGTGCGGTAATAGTTTCTGTTACAACGTTCTCGTGTGCCATTCGGCCACAACATGCAGCTCAATGAGCTGAGCTCATTTGTCGTGAGTAATTAGTTCGTGGTGTGTTTCTCGACGAAATTTTTTTTAGAACAGTATATGGTCACGTAGTTGAGCGTCTTTGTCATGAAATGAATAATCGTTTAAGAAAAAAAAGTCCTGTAACCTGTAATGAAGGGGAACTCGACAAAAAACAAAAATGTGTGGAGAGAAATCGAACTGAAATATTGTGTAAAAAGTGAAATCCCAGCGTTGGCGCGACATCATACTAAATTGTTGATCGAATCGGATAGTTTTACATGTTGAGTGTTCTTGTTATCGTGAGCGGTCAGTGTTTTATGTGCAGTGTAAAATTGCAGCACAGGTGAAAATAATGAAGTGAGGTGTACTTAATGCTCACCAATCATTGATTTTTATTGGAATTTCTGTTGCTGTTTTTATTCCATTCATGAAGCGAATTTATTTGTATTTTTCCCTCATTTCTTCGACTCGATCGTTTTTTTTTCTTCACTTATTTCATTCTTGTCGTTTTTGTTAATGACATCGATGCATACATACGATGTGTATGTTTTGTTTTTTCAACTTTTGGTCTCATCGCCGAACACACAATGAATAACAAAAGATGTGAATCCGCACTTATGACCAGTATGCACATTCATTTAGCACATTAAAATATGCGCAGCGACCAAATCCTCTCCAAAAACAGCACTGACAATAAAATTGAACATGCACTGTGAATGCGATTTCAAAAACGAAAATTCAACATCAACATGGTTTGCGTGGTGGATGTAACAAATGAAATTGTACAAAACGAATCGGACTATCAATTGCAATCTCTTGTATCGCATTTGTTTTCATCGTTTTGGTTTTATTTCACAACTTTTCAATTATTTAACCGTTTTTTTTTTCTTCTTTTATAATTTGCATTGAATTTTCACTTTGGGACAATGACTTTGTATTTGTGTACGGACGAATGACACACGATGGAGACAATCAAACTTCTTTCGAGGTCAATTGGGTCTGTGACATGATGCAAATGTTTACAAATGTAAAATCACAATTACTTATTCATTAAATGAATTTCAAATCTCTATCGGGGAATTAAAAAGTAAAATACTGGACATGAATCTGCATCACATTATTAGTATTATTATTTTTCTCACAATACATCAAGAGGCGTTAAGAAATAGAAAATGCTTTTTTTTTCGATGACGATATCGATTGTCAACGATTTTCGTTGTACGTCTGTATGTAATTCCTTAGCGCCTACAAAACGTAATCGTGCACATTTGCTTTGACTATTTAAGAGCAAAGAAATCAAACAGGACCGCGCGCCACTATAATAACTAACATCAATCACAAAACATCAATACCCTCACGGCATACAATAAAATCAAATGTTGATGGTGATGGTGAAATATAAGCAACAGACTTTGACTATTGATCGGTATCAGCGACGTAGCATTTTACTAGCGCATTTTAAAAATGTGTGGCGATAACTTTTCTCGAACACACCGACCAACACTTTCAAATGAATCGAATATCGGGAAAAAAGAGAAATTATTTGATTGTTTGTGCAAGTTGTCAAAACGATTTTCGCGTAACGTTTAATATTTGAAGAGAGAGAGAGAGAGAAACCAAAAAAAATGGAAACGATGTTGAATCAAAACGAATCAAGGCAAGCTAATATTTATTATCAATAATAATCATAATAATAAAGCTTGATGATGGCGAATGTGATGCATCGACTATTGTGCATTTACCACAATGCGCATATTTTCGCGTGAAATTACGACTATCAGGTTTGAATCACAAGTAACTGTGGCACATGGTCCAATTGGTTAAGATGAGCTGAATCCCAACCAAATCGATTTACTCCGTTTGGTTTTTTTTTCTCTTTTTCATTTCTGTCGATTCACAAATGGCAAAAGTTATTGTTCCCTGTTTACAATAATTATTCAATCTTTTAGTAAGAGCATATACACAATATCGCCGTTTGATCGATGTTTATGGCCGTCGGGCATAATGTGTTTGCGGTGCGCACATTTGTGCCTTTTAGTCTGATATAAAAGACACTTTAGCATTATGGCCGTTGTAACTCAATTCGTTTAATTTAATTTTTTACCGAACAATTCAGGGATGATAAAAACCAATCAGTATGCGCATTGCGAATGCTTTGGATGAAAACTAAAAATGAGTTCGGTTTCCGTGTGTTGCAGATATATTTAAATATTGTTTCGCTTATTTTATATTTTACCTAACAATAAATGAAAAAATAAAAGAAAAAACTTACCGACAAATCATGAGATGCATTTTTTATAGTTTTGATTATTTCTGCTGACGGTGATAAAAATTCTCTTTCAAATGAAACCAAATCACCATGAAATGTTGTTTGCAATAAATCACGAGCTTGTCGTAGTAAAATTGCACGAGTCTCTAAATATTTTGGATAAAGTGCCGCCAGATGCATATCCACAAGTTCATTTATATCTTTTTCATTTGCCTGCAGGATTTGAAGTAAAAAAAAAAAAACAAGAAAAATATAGCATAAAAAGTTCAGTGTTCAATTTGAGTAAATCGATTTTCATTCAAAAACAAAAGTCAAATCAAAAAGGAATACGCCTCGAATCGATTTGGTTAGTTACTAAATTACAAATAGTGGCAAGCCATTTTAAAGTCATTATAACACATATTTAGGCATTTCGACACATTTTAATTCAAAATGAATCAAACCGAATGCATAGTGTCACAAAAAATGTTTTATCGACATAGTGGAATGCTGCAGCAACGATGATATTTAATATTCTTGCATCGCTAAGTGTTTACATTTTGATAAACAAAAGCAGTAAAATCAGATTTATTTCTTTTAGATTACATTTCAATTGCAAAACGTAATGATGAAATTGTGACGATTGAATTTCCTTTTCATGGTTTTTGTCATTTTTCTAATTTAATATTTAGATTTGTTGGTTGAAACCTTAAAGCTGAGTCATTGTGTTTGTTTTGCAACAACAACAAAAAATGGAAAGTGAATAAGTCCAAGTGAAGAAAAAAAAATTCCTTCCAAATATTACCACTTTGTCGCACTGTTGATCATCGGGTTCACCCATATTATATTTCCACTTGCAACACTGAATTTCCACAGATATTGTATAAAATGATAAAAAAAGATTTAATTAAAACCTCAAATGGTGCGAATTTATGTTCTTAACAAACGTTCGTTTTGTTCAACAATGACAAAAGCTGCGACATTGCTTTAATATACAAAGATCAAAAACACAATTATTCCGAACATATTAACAATTATCGATTGATTTTTATTATGGCCAACACGCGACTTTATTTGATACAGATTTTGCCGCACATTTTTTTCCACCGTATCCTTGCTCTCTATAATCGGAAAAAGTGTTTTATTCACAAAATCGATGTGAATAATTGTGGTAAGTCAAAATCAGTGCGCACAAATTGAGAGTAAATTTTATATTGCTGTCGATTCCAATGACCAACCGATCAATACATAGCCGTGATATTGCCATTTACATGTTCACAAATTAATTGATAACCTATAACCGAATCGCTATTCAAATCATTCAAAACGCATGAATGCTGAAACGAATATGAAATATGGTTAAAACCGATAAAACGAGAGCAACAAATGAATATAATTTTTGTTATTGTTGTTGTTATTATTATTATTTTTCTTCATCGGTGCAATTTGTTCGCTTTACAGCCGTGCCCTTATTGATTGATCATGGAAAATGGCATGATCGAGCTCAAGCGATAACCCAAAAGTTGATTTAATGGTCTGGTTTGGAGCAAATGCAACAATAACAACAACAACAACAAAAATTCGTCGTTTGATTTCTCTTTCATTTGCCGTGTGAGAATTTCGATATGTGTGTATTTCGTTGTTAAACAATTTACGAAGCATCACAAGCATTCGACCGTTTGCACATAAGGAATTTATTAAAATAAAAGAAAATTGTGCAACAGTTTCATTGGCCCGATCAAAAAAAAAAACTGTATTAGAACCGAAATGGATATCCGACATTAGGCGCAAATTTTCGTTATTTCAAACTGGCACCTAATGGGCATGCTATTTTAAAAGCGACAACAGCAACAACAACAACAAAATATGCTGTGTTGCACAAACATCCATGTGACTGTGATGCACGAAATTCATGCCAATAGTGCACTTTCACCCTGCAAATCATATTACTTTTATGGGATTATATGTATACATATGCGCGGCTTAAATGTTAAATTGATCGTTGTATGTACGGGATACAAGCGAGGAAAGAAAGAAGAAGAAAAAAATAGTCACACACCGCTTTTGGCTGCTTGCCTTTTCTTTTTGGTTCTAACCATTCCCATTTGTTTGTACTAGATTAAGTGGTGGGTCGCTTTTGTATTACGATTTATCCGTTATTTCTAATATTATAATATGGTGAGCACGATAATCAGCGTACAACTTCGCTCTCTCGCCTCACAAGTCTTCATAATCGATTTTAATCAAGGCGAAAAGAAGAGAAATTCAACACATTTGAGCCTATTGAATTTGAAATTCACAATCGTGTTAGCGGCTGTCGTTTCTTTCCAAAGTTATGCTTAATTGTAAGGTAGTCGCTGAAATATTTAGTGTCGCAAATATTTAAATTGGAACACAGCGTCATTGATTTTGCAATCAGATCAATGCAAGCAAATACAAAACAGTCGCGTGGTTTGGCTCGATGGACACTTTTCACAATCGATGCGAATATTTTACATTGCAAATGCGTTTTTCCTTATTTCGATCAAGACGACTTTTATATGTTTTACTGATATCATACGATTTAGGTATTTTGTGAGCATTGATACATATATACAAGTGTCACACTCTGCCATTTGAACATCATTCGAAACGATTTAGATTGGTGTGTGCATACCGTGCATGTGTTCATGTGCAATTTTCACCAAACTTAGATATACCACAATTCAATCGGTCACTTAACATTCTCTTTCATGTCAAATGAATAAAATATGCAAACATTTAAAAAGATACACTAGAAGAGACAGCATGAAAAGGAATTTGAAGAGAGAGAGAGAGAGAGAGAGCGAGAGAGCGAGAGAGAGAGAAACAACAACGGCAAACCATCCAAGTTTGAGAAAGTGATAAAAAATTATTTCACTGAATTTATTTGAATGATATGCCATGCATCAAATTAAAATGCATTGCAAAAAATAAAAATAATGGCAAATCGTACAAAATGTATGCATTGGTGAAATTGAATTTGATTTGACTTTTCGACGCTGATAAATTGATTCTAAAACGATTGAAAATGCATTGCAGTGTCATTCGAAATTCGATCTCGAATGCGGTACGTTGTTGGTGGTCTCATGCGAATAATTTAATCAAATGACATATTTTCTGTGCATTGTTTGTGAGAAACACCAAATGTAAATCACGGAATAGATACAAAGCGGAATGGCACACCACAAAATCACTCTCATCGAATTTAAACGAACGGAAAAAAGTGTGATCAATTTTTGTGTGTTTATTTATTTAATGTTATTTATTTGTTCATCAAGCACATGTGTCATACCACCAAATGAGCGCATTGAATAATAATAACAGCAAACATAAAAAAGATGAAGCATCGAAATGAAAAGAAGGGAGACGAAACTGAGTGTGAGTGTTATTGTGAATGAATTGTGATGATGTGTGTGTGTGTGTGTGCGCACTGGGAACGCTTCACTGGATCTATTGATTGTTTAAATAATACACATTAATGTATTTAATAAATATTGTATCGTAGCATTGTGTAACCCCTTTCAGCCACAAACTATCTTTGTAATGTGTCACATAAATATGAATTATGAGCATACTGTCAAATAAGACCAAAACAAATAAATAAATTATCGATGATTTAAGTTTATAAAAGTCAGTTTTATCTTTTTGTATTTTGTATTGAAATGGTGTGTAGTTTTATTTCCTTTGATCTCAGTACAGTAGATGCTGTGGATAAAGATTTCGAAATATTGTTCATTACATTGTAAGTAAAGGGAGCACTATTTCGGTGACACTGATCACAGTAAATTAAAGAACATTAACAAGCATGCGCCGAAATCGAAATGAATACAGATTAGTAGTAAACTTAAAATGACAGTCGCACCACCATATCAATGGATTGAATGTCCAATTATAGTAAATGGGCCATGCAATCGATGAAAACAAAGTCATTTTTTATAAGAACATGTGACAAGATTGTTACGAAAAAAAATCCCAAAACATCTTTCGTAAGTTTTTACATTATTTTTGGTTGATACAGAATCGGCTCACATTTCATAGAAGTGTCTATTTAGTTTTTTTTTGGTAATTGTTCATGAAAAAATATCCATGCGATAAACGCACGTGCACTATAAGTATATCGACCTTTATTTAGATTTTTTTTATTGCATCTATTGTTTACTAAACAAACTAAAATACATCAATAAATTCCAAACCACACATAGCTCATGGAAAAAAGCGAATTTGCCTTTTTTTTATTCAATTTGTTCTTCGTTTGGAACGAAACGGGGAACGGCATTCGTTGCATGAAACGACATTAATAAAAATTTCAGATGACAACCGAGGCCTGTGCATATGTACCTTTCGTATTTCGATATAAATTCATATTGCGCCTTTAATTCAGCACAATATGTCCAGAAAGGGAACGATTTAATTTTCTCGCTTCTTGCGCTCCGGCCCAGATGACACCAAACTATTAATTAACAATACTAATAAGTAATAATAACTCAATGGTTCATTCTACTCTTTTTTATAAATGTATTACATTTCTGATACATATAAAATGTTATAAATCCATAATTTCCGTTTCACTGCACACTTGTTCTACAAAACCATATGTCGTAAATTCAACCTTTGGGAGTCATTTTTCGCTCTCTCGCATTTTTCTTTTTGGTTTGTTTTTTCTTTCGTAGTAAATAAGACTTACCATATGAAATTCTGGCATTATGTGTTCATTTTTTTTGATGTGGTTGTTTTCATATTCGTTGATTGAATTAGTTATTTCATCTTCCGGCATTGATTTCTCCATGGCCTTTGTGGAGCTCAAATCATTTTCTAAAAAATTCAAGTCGCTAAAATTCAAGTCCTCTTTAGTTTCCGTTCCAAATTCGTCTATATACCACGAACTGGTTGGCTGTTTTGTTCCTTCGTTGTTTATATCGGTTTCGGCAGATGATGGCGTCGAACGTTTTCCACCTAAATTAATGCTATTAATTGCATTTTCACATCGTTTCAAATAGGTTCGCACTTTTGATAGATTTTTATACGTTGATTCATTTCCAGTGGCGTCTGAAGACTGTGATTCAATTGCTTTATTACTATTGTCGATTACATCGGTTGCATAGAAATTCGATGAACTGACCCACATTGGTGAAACCTAATGACACAAAGTTTGTCACAACGAAAAGAGAGAAATATGTGGTGAGCAATACTTAATTGATTTGAACAAAAAAAAAAAAAAAAATAACAATAAAAGTAGTGCACAATATTGAAACTCATAACTATTCGATGTGTTAATTCTGCAAATAAAAATGGGCATGCAATAGTTTAAAAAAAATAAATAATTGCACATAGCGTCTTGCCCAATTTCTTATTCGGTTATTGCCACTAGGCAAACGACGTAGATTCTATAAATTATATGAGCAACGTACGAAAAAAGCGAACCAAACCCGCTTACCGTTACTACTTTCAGTAAACAACGACAAAAATTTATCCGAAATTCATCGCAAATTTCATCCAAAAATTACAAATATTCAGCGCGCAAAAAAAAAACGCTTTCTGCATAAATTTGAAGTTATTGGTGAGACGCAGAGTTGAGTATGGTTTATGCTATTCGACTCACATGAAATTTTGTAAATGCTGAGAGTAATTGGTGGAATTGTCAAATAAAGGAAAAGATTGATTGCCAAACCAAAATCAGTTTGGCAACTTCAATTTCAAACGATTCAATGTAAGAGGAGAGGCAACATTACAAACATTTTTATTTCAAATGTCTTTGATTTGCTATCATTTTCATTGTATTTGGGTATTTGTTGAACGGGACTGAAATGTGCTTTCCCAAAACTGTTGACAAAACACTCAATTTATTCCGTTTGATTTGATTTACTTAAGCGATTATGCTAGCTATGTGTGTTCATAGGAACATATTTTTTTTCTTTCTCATTCAAAAATCAAATTTAAAGGGAAATATGTGCTTACTTTTAGCGGTGGTTATAGTTTATTTCGTTGTCACCAAAAAAGTGATTTGAATCACTTTTTACAATGGCACGTTGTTAGTTATGACTTACACTGCTTTATTTATACAATGTTATAAATTCAGAGAAATTTAACATAGATTTTATTCATGGCGGTACGTATGAATAGACAACGAAAAAAATATCAGCTCACACGCGCGTTAGTAATACAGACAGAATGTGAATTGAAAATCGGATTTGAAACAAAGGTAATAATGTAAATAACGAAAAAAAAAAAACGAAATGTCTTGAATGGCAATGCACACACCACACACACATACACAAATGTACCTAAAAATCAAACAATTTATGTAATAATAATTCATAATTTACAAGTGAAAGAGTTGGTGAATCTTTCTTCACTCTCATATCAGCAAGAAGACGAAAAAAATGGCTGGCGAAGAGCTAAACAAGAAGAAGACGAAGAAAAAGCGGACGATACAAAAAGTAAAGAGAAAAAAAAACGTTATTTCTTTGTGTGATAGCGATTGTTACAAAAGTATAAAAATTGCATTCGTCAAGTATGCGTTAATATGAACAATATTCCACGATTTATATTCACACAATTGAAAACATTCGTCTATATGTTTGCACTGATATTAAAATCACTATAAGAGGAAGATGCGAGCGAAAAATTCCGCAAACAATTTACAAAGAAATGAAGACGAACTTAAATGTACCCATCGCATATGATATCAGCACAAAATGAAATGTACGATATACACACATACACACCTGAACTTTTTTTTTACCATATGTTTCCTATTTTTCTTCCAGAAACATTAATTGCAAATTTTCTTCGTGTTTTGCCCATGGCTGAGACCCGCACATGAAACGAAAAACGTAAACTAAATGTTAAAATGCTACTTCCATCAACAGTTTAGGAACGTAATCAACCAATTCAACTCTTAGTGAAAGAACGAAAAATTCTGTGAACGTGAGTAAACAGGTAATGTACCAACATCAATGGATGATGCGTATTAAACTTCAGAGCCATCTAAATTCACATACCGAAAATTATCTTACAAAATGTGAGACCGGTTTGTGATGCCAGGTATTCAAAGGATACATGCATGTATTACGCCAACATATTAGATGGCGCTTCCAATGAACTTTTCTTTCATAATAATTCTCTGCGGTTATTTCGCGTTGCATTTGTGTGAATGCAGTAAGAATACTCATCAACATAAACTATCAATTACATTTCTTTTAAAATGCAGTGTGATGGATGTAAAAGCTAAACGATTTGATGTGATTTCCCGTTATAATGATATTTGATATAATTTCCGTTTGGACGATGTTGATTTTAACACTAAGCTGGAATTGAAAGCTAGAATTGCTCGTTTATTTAATTATATATATGAATTTTTGGCACAAATTATTCGATTGAAGATATGAGTTTTTAACCAAAATTACCGTAATGGCGTACACACCATAGCAATTACCATTCAATATCAATTCGTTAAATGATACGTACAATTTTTATGGAATAATAAGACTATTTGCTAATTTTTGATTACATGAACATTTGATAGCGTATACATGCATGATTTGAAACACGCAAATTTTATTTTCATCGAATCGAGAAAATGCAATTTGACCAATGTGAACTGTTACACGATCCAAACACACACACACACTTATATCCGTAGATATCTTTTCTCGCTCATTTGTTGATATATATATATACATAGAAATAATTTGCTTCAGATCTATCTTTATCTCATGTAAGTTAACATGAAGTGAATAGAGTTTGCGATTCATTACGGAATTGTAAATACTTTGAACTTTTCGCATGGATTGTGTGAGATTCATCGCAAACACCTATGCTAGAATCAAATATGATTAACATAAAATTAACCTATAGCTAAGATTTATACGATGTTTGTTCTAATGGCATAGCAATGCAATAGCTTACTTAATTATATCTCGTCTTTGTTCTAAAAAAAAATCATTTTGAACTATTTCTTGGGATGATGAATGAAACATAGAATATCTTTGTAATATAGTCAGAGTTTCTAATTGCGAAAAATCAGCACGGCATATTGCATCTATGATGGAAATAGATTTGCTATTGTTTTTCCATCTAAAATGACCTTCAAATTCCGAAAATCAACAAATCAATAACTGTCATTGCTACTTTGCATTCGACAACTAATATCGTTTTAATGAAAAATCGATCAATCACTATAAGTGAACACATGTAAGTCACGGTACTTTTCAAAAGGGTTTAAAGTGTTTGTAATCAAGTGAAATAAAATTGGTGAATTTTTAATCATCAAACGGTTCAACCGTATTCATTTGTTGCCAACAGTTTTTTTAAAATATTTTGGTCATGGCACTTAAACGATTGTGCCTCAAATACCTGTAGGTTAAATCCAGTATAACTTATGGTGTATTTATGTTTCACACACTTGTCAGCGATAAACATGTTTATCGTATTCTCAAAATTTAGGCAATGTAAAATTGAGTTCAATTCAAGTAAGTAAAAGAACATCGTGAAGGTCTTTTGTGTTGCATTTATTTCGCGTGATTGAACCATCGCTTTTTCAACATTATCTGACAGCCTGAACTTACGAAGAATACACAAATATTCTATCATTTATCGTTTCAAATGTTTGTCTTTTTCTTAAATAAAGATACTTGTTAACTATAATCGAAATGCATTTGTAATGATTTTGCTACATAAACAATGCAATGAATTGCTCTAGAAATGCTGAACATTTTGCCTGACACCATGATGGAAACGTGTAAATTGAAATACCTTAATACGATTTTTTATGTTTGTTGAAAGATAAATTAAAACAAAACAACGTTATGCACATAAACTTGGTAAATTCTTGCATCAGGCGGCTTAATTTAACATCAACTTGCCCAAGCGAATGAAGAAAATTCGCTCACCTAATTGCTGTGCACATTATTATCCACACGAATGCAACACAATACAACTGCTTAACGAAAAGTAAATTTTATGATTCATAAAAGTTGTTTAATTTTTGTTGTTGTTGTTGGTTTATTTGTGTTTTTCATGTTTGAAGGGCTTTTAACAAATAGCTATTTTTGAACGATGTAATCAATTTTGATTGAATGACTTGAAAGTGCCCGTGCAACAAACGCATTGCAAATTGATATCTCTCTGGCAATGTTTTTATTCAATGGTCATAAAGATGATTCCATATAATTGCACCAACCAATTAATGTATTGATAAATAGTATTCGACTTGAAATGAATCACATACAAATAATATTGTCATTTGCAAACAGGTACGGTGACGTAAATGATGTGCGAAGAAATTGCATTGCAGAGTTTTGTTTTTCAATGTTAGGCATGAATGCGTCACGCAATGTGTAGTGTTGGAATAGAAGAAATTAGGTTTTATTTTGTACGACTAAAGACTATGTATGGTACTTACATTATTTGACGTTGAATGTGGACAAGGCGAACCTTTTTGCAATCCCAATCGAACTTTTGAATATTTTTTCATTAGAACACGCCACACAACATACGCCATTTTTTCGATTTTATATGTGAACACTGATTTTTGCTCTTAAACTTGTCAACACCACTCTGTCAAAAAAAACTGATTCATTCGCTTGTTCAATGTGAAATTGATTGTGTCTTCGGCGTGAAAACAATTCGAAATAGCCGAACTATGTGAAGATCATACAAAAACTGTTTACTTTCTTCTAATTGGAACATTACGCGCACAATGTCGTCGCAATTTTTGATACACACACATTTGTACGGCACTTGAATTTCAATCGATACACACTTTTTTATCATTTGATGTAGTAGCTGTTACCGTTTCTCACATGCATTTGTGTTTCTTTTATCTTGTTTTTATCATTATTCAGTGTTCGACTTTGCGAATATTCAAATATGTTCATACTAACAGTGTTGTTAATGAAACTTTGACAGTATTCACGTGAAATTTGCTGAAATTATGCTACTTATAAGTTACAAACGAAAAAAAAAGTGTGTCTGAATTGCTATGAAACTTAAACACAAATGCCAAACCGTATCTTGATGTTTTCGAGAAGGCAAAATAAAAATACACTATCATACCTTATACACAGTAATAATAATACAAATCAAACAGAAATGAAATGAAATAACATGTCAAAGCCGATACGAGCTGGGCTAGTGCGCGCACAGCACAACAAAATCTATAGTTTGTGGTATTGTTACCACTACCATCGCAATGCTGTTTTATTTGTTTATATTCATTTTTTATTGTTTTCGTTGGCTTTTTTTTCTAAATACGGTTTATCGTTTCGTCAATTTTCTAGACTGTAGCGTGTTGAAAGCTTACACTAGCGAGAGTTCATTTCCTTTGTGCATACGTAAAACTACATATAGCCCCACCTTCAATATAGCCGATAATACATATATCGTGCGCATCATCGTCATCGGTACGCTTACCTTTATTAGCTTAATTCTGAAGCAGACGGCAAAACTATGAATATACATATAATATATACAACTGTTGTACATGTATAGAAAAAATGATACTGAAAATGAACAAAGTCGGGTACAAGTACATTTCAAACGGTATAGAAAACAAAACAAAGCCCAAAGCCCAACACCAAACTACAATACAATACCTTTAATGAGAGAAACTTAATAAAAGATATTAGATGATATTAAGAAGGCAAAACCTACACACAATTGCTAAGAATGTGAAGTTATCATTTTAGGTGCAGTAAGAGTTCGAATTTCGTATGGTAATCGGACATCAAGTGTATTGTTTTTTTTTTTTGCATAGCTGAGATATATATATAAAAAAAAACTCGCTGGTCAAATACGAAATAAATGAACAGCAAAATACCTTTAGAGAAAAATGTACGTGCGTACAGTAGTGCATACCAAAAAAACGTCCACACCGTACAGTTTGTAGAATTTGCATTGCAAACGACATCGTAAAACATGAGCTATTTTGAATACTTTCCTTAAAATCATGCGTACAACTAAATAAGATTAAATCTTAAGCAAAGTGTGAGACATGAGCAGTTTTTTTTTTCGTCGAAAAATGTTTCTTCGGAAACCGTTAATCTTTGGCTCTCGCCGAAAATATGCGTAGTATAAAATGAACGCTCGAGAGAGTGTAGACGAGGCACGCGCGTGTGTATGTATGTATGTGTGTGTGTTTGCAACACCAAACGCAGCTCAGCAACGTATTTGTACTGCGATCTGTTTCATTTTAAATGGAAAAATTAATGCCGGTATCGTCACAATTAGTCTATGAATTTATTATCCGGGCACACCTTCAGTCCCAATCACGCAACATAATGTGTCAATGTAAGACTGTCGGCAAAAATATTGGACAGAACCACAATAAAAAAATCAATATGCCGTTTTCCACTACCATATTGTGGAAGGTAATTGTATATACGCTATTTGTGATCCTGACATCATATAAATTTTCTACTATAAAGAATGTTCAATATGCACACATGCCCCATGTTCGTCTTTATTTAATATGTCATGTATAAGTTTAAAGGCTAATAAACTGCGATAGTGGGCTTAACATTTTTCAATGTCGCCTTCATTTGCCTATCGCTCTTTAAATAAACGCACCAACAAATGAAAATCGGTTTTCATGGTATTTGCAATTGTTTTTATTAAATTTCAAATTGATGAAACTAAAAAAAAAGATCAGCAACCGAATTCAATATAGTGTATGTGCAGTATGATTTTTGACAACATATATTTATATATACAATTAAATATAGTCTAATGTCATGTTGCCCCATGAGATAAAGTTCTCTGCCTTTTCTTTTTCGTTTCAATTTGTGTTGTGATGATATGCATGGGGTTATAAATACAAAAAAAAAATTATTGATAACAAATTACTTGTTCATATAATAATAAATGGTTAAAATTAATCAATATGAATATATGATTTGCGCTGATCTTGTTTGCCCAACATTGTATTGTATTCATTCTGTTTTCCGTTTGTCCAATGTTGTCCATTTCTGCCATTTATCTATGAGAAGATTGATCACATGCCGACATACCATTAAAATTAAAATGGGAATTGTCAGCAAATATGCATCTCGAAATATATACAAATAGCAAGCGAACAAAAACAGAAAAAGATCGGTTGCATATGATAAGGTTGACCGAATTTTTAATTCGGCCGTTGTTTGCATTTGTTCGGGCGTTATGCACCGTGATTCCGGCAATTCCGGTGATGGTGATTGTTCAGATGGCTCCAGCTCAATGTCAATATCGTTTTGGATGGGCATTCTCGTTACTTTCAATACAGTATTCGATACCGATGTCATACGCTCTGAAACTGGAGATTTTGACTGACTGCGCCTCTCTGATATTGATTTACGTCCCAGTTGACGCGAACGTGACGAACTCCGCACTTTCGTTAGTGTCTCTTGTTTTTTCGTATCGATCACGCTATCGATTCCATCGTCTTCATTGCATAGTTTGGTCGATTCGGTTAGACATTTTGCATTTGCTTCAACCATCGTTTCATTGTTTGTTCTACAAACATCCGGTTGTTTTATTTGTCGCAATGCATATGAAACTGACTGTGTATGCTCCACACTGATTTCAACCAAATCATTTGGTGATGATGATGGTGGTGGTGACACCGTTTCACGTTCGACTGAATTTTCATTTGCATCGGTATATAGGTTCATTTTTTTAGCCAATTCTGACATATCGTCTACATCATCATTTATATTGATTTTATGCATTTCATTCGTCTGTTTCGCAAGAAGCTGTTCACGTTCTTCCAATTCAGCCCGTGCGGCCGCTTCACGTAGCGCATGATGATTCATGTATAATGGTATGGACGCTTTTGTTTTTTGATTGCCACCCAATTCTTTGACAATATCACTGTAATGATCAATCACCGCAACTTGTTCCACTTTATTTTCTTCGATTGAATTTTGTCGCAGTTTTGAAAGTTTTTCTTTTTCGGTAGCTTTTTCGGGCAATACTTTCTCAACCGGCGATTCGATCGGTTTCTTTAAATTTTCAGCAGATGTCGCTTGTTTCTTACTAAACAAATTCAAAAAGCTTCGCTTCTCTTTTTCTGGCTTTGGAGTTGATGGCAATGACTTTGGTTCTGGTTCTTTTTCTGGTTGTGGTTGTGGTTTTGGTTGTGGTTTTGACTGTAAATGTGACGGATGTAATGGTATTGGTGACGGTGGTTGGGACTCCGTTTGTTTTTGTGATGGTTTTTTCTCCTTTTGTAGATTTTCTTTATTTTCGACGATTGTTTGTGTTACTATTGCTTCGTTCATGCCATTTTCATTAGATGTCCGTCGTTTCAATATTGATTTTGGCTTTATGTCTGGATTTGGCAATGCAATCGGGCGATTTAGTTCAATTGTTGCCTGTCCGGGATCTGGTGTACGATATGGTGAAAGTGCACGCACTTCCATACTTGGATGATATGTTTCGAGTTCATCATTTACCGAAGTTCGTGTATTGATGGCAGTTGTGCTTGTATTTGTCGATGCCGATCGTACTGAATTTATAAATTGTTCAATGGATTCGATTGATGCAGATATTGATATTGATCCAACTGATGATGCCGTACTCTCTGTATAATCATCATCGTAAACAATGTCTGTGGATGGTTCATGTGGTCGATGGCTGCGTTTCCGTTGTGATTCGTAGATCTCTTTTCGAAGATCACGATCATCTTCGTTTTTCCATTCATGTGACTGATCTGATTTAATTTCAGGCTTTGCTTCATTTGTACGCTGTAACAAGTAATTGGAATTGTTTTAAAAAAATTGAGTACAGAATCCAAATTAAAAAAAAAAAATAATTCAATGAATGTGTTTTACCGAAATGAATTCATTATCATCTTCCATGTGCTCGACAAATTTTGATTTTTTATTTTGACCGGAATCACCTTGTTTCCGTGCCATTTCTGCTTCGTCAAGTTCGACTGCTTCATAAAATCGTTGCATTACCTATTGCAACAGAAATTTATTTTCCAATATAAAATGGTAACAATAGTCCTTTGTCATACCTTCTCATAAAGTAATTCCGATGAACTAGCAGATCGTCTCAATGGTTGAAATGTACTGTGATGTGACATATCAGATAAGTCTGGTGTCGATAGTGACAAAGGTGGTGCATCAATAGCTTCCTTCAAATCCAAATCAAAGTGATTTTCTATAAAAATAAAATCGTATTAACTTTACGATAATTGGACGCATATACTAAAATTTAAGCAAACTAACTTTCTTCGTTTTGTTTTCCCGACTTTTTGTCATCGTATAAAACTAGCATGTACTCATTGCTCGTGTGAACTTCATCATGAGCGGGTGAAAGTGTGTTCTTCTCGTCACCTTGATTTCTAGTTTTTCCATGTGCTCGACTTTCATTTTTGTTTGCCTGTGGAGATGACGTGATTCTGGAAGCCATTGAATCTGGTTCAGATTTTACTGACTTTTTATTTGCATGGTTTTCAGTGTGCCGAATTGAATTGGGATTTAATTTCGGTGTCGTATTTGAAATACTTTCTTTCTTTTTCGTTCGATTTTCTACACTTGTACCATAATTAAGTTCTTTTACAATTTGTTCGTTATCATAAATTTGTGAAATGAATTCAACATTTTTTGGTAGATCCGGTATAATAATTTGTTTGATTGGGCTTTTTCTGTCTTGATTATATTGTTGATTAATCAGATGTTTCCGGTCGGCATTGGGCGATAAAGTTGATACTTTGGCTGGTGTTACAATGCCACGCTTTGGATCAGGAATGAAAAGAGTTTTTGATTCCTCGCTTGGTTCACTTAATCCATATGGACTTTCAGCTTTTACACGAAATTTATATTCGGATCCTTCAATTAAATCGTTTAATGTGGCAGTTAGTTGTCTTGTTGACGACGCTTTCAACCACACATCCCATCCAATACGAAAATATTCAACAACATAATTTCCAATTTTGCATCCACCATCGTCTTCGGGTGTATTCCAAGTAAGCGTTACTGATTTTCCCAATGACATTGAAATTCGAACATTTTGCGGTGGACTTGGCTTTGCTGTAACCGTCACTAAAAACGATGCATTGAATTCACCCAATTTATTTATTGCACGCACATTGTATTCACCACGATCTTTACGTGTTGCTTTGGTTATTTTTAAAAACGAATTCTTATCGTTTGTTGTAATTTCGTAGCGTCCGCCGTTTTTAATTACATCACCATTGTGCGACCAACAAATTCCTGGCGTCGGTCTACCAGCCAATCCCACTTTAAGTTTTATTATTTCACCAGCTTCAACCAAATATCCATCTTCATACTGTCGTGGTAACCGTATTTTTGGCGGTGCATCAATTCTTAATTGGAATCGTGTGACAACATGTCCATATCGATTGGTTGCAGTACATTTTATTTCACCCTCATCGGTAAGTGCAATTTGATGGAAAATTAATGTGCTCGAATCGTGATCATTAATAATTTTTGTTCGTCGGCTGCTAAATATTTCGAAGCCATCTTTGAACCAATTGATTTGTGGTGTCGGCGAACCAATCACACTAACATGAAATTCACATTGATCGTTTTCTAAAACCGTTGCATTTTCAAGTTCATTTAAAAATTGCGGTGCTGCTGTTCCACTTCGCTGTGAAATAGCTGATATTATATCCGATATTGGGCTTGATTCGGAAATACCAACAACATTTTGGGCAAACACGCGAAACTGATACCTCCATGTCGGATCTATGCCAGTCAATGTGATTTCTTGATATGGCACCAATGTTGCCGATGTTTTCACCCATGTTGGCGAACCAACACGTCGCTGCTCAACCAGGTATCCCATTATGGGTGAACCACCATCGGTATAGGGGCGATCCCATTTTATAACTACTGCGTCAGCTGGTGCATTGTAGTCTGTAATCTGTATCGGTTTGCCAGGATTTGATGGTGGCTCTAGTTGAAACGAGATAAAAGAAAAGATTTTTTTAAAAGAAAAATTCCCATCTGGAAGTAGTTGTAGTTCGTTTAAGTTGCATTTATTTGTAAATTAAACTCGATTCGGTTGCCTATTGTTTTACCACATATTTTCTGTTTCGGTAGACATTAATTTCTTAAAATACAAACATACAACAAAACATACAAATACAAAAATCTAAAAATATAACATTTGAACACTACTATACATTTACGCTCCGATTGCGCACTAATATTTGCTAACACAATATTGCAATGTTACACACACACACACACACATTCACACGAATAGTTGGAATGTTCAACTATCGTTTTTAACAAAAATTTGTATGCATCTCAGTAAATTTACTCATTATTCCAAATAGTCGCATTCTTTTTTTGTTATTAATCAATGATAGTTTGTGTGACACAAAGAGAAACCATTGAAATTGATTGATTACCTGCTGATTTCCAGTGTACGTTTTTCTTTGGCCGATGATCACGGCTAATATTTTGACTTTTGGTCGAATGATTGCCCATTGCTGATAGTTCACCAAGCGTTTCAATACATTAATGTACTCAATCAATGAAGCAAAAATCAAATTTAAAACAAAAAACTATTTTAAACAACTAGATCGAATTGATAAAACGAAAACCGTAAAATATTCAAACAATAATAAAATTAAAACTAAAATCTAACGAAAATATAATAGAAAAAAGGGAATTTTCGGAGACAATAGCGTCTCAAAATGTCGACGCCCGTCTCTCGCACACAAAATTTTAAACACTACTGCACAATTTCGGCTGCTTTATGTCATAAGAATGATCTTGTTTTAGAATTCCGAGCAAAAACGAACTGACCCATTACTGCTCGATAGGCGGATGTTCGCGAATGTGTCTGTGATCTATATTTTGGGAGAGCGAAATCTAAATACGTCGGGATGCTTATTTATTTATATGTGTACAGCACGCCAAACAGAGAGCACACACAGTACACACGTTAAATGAGATTCAGCTTCAACAGACTGTTTAGCTTTCATTTAAATCAACGATTTAAAAATATTCACTCTCAAATGCGGGAAGACAGGAAAAACGGGATGAAAAACATGAAAATCTACACCAATTGCTATCAATGCTTTTACTTCCTTTTTTTCTTGTATTTGCTTCCTTAAATTATGCTTTTTTTCTCTTACTTTTTATTCAATTAAAACTCTATATGCTGGTAAGAGAATTGGCTATGTATCCATTTGACGTAGCTACCTCACAATATTTTAGAGATCCTTTGGCAAAAGAAATGACTACCATTCAAACAGATCACACAATATTTATAACAATAATAATAATGATTGGCTTAAAGCAAAAAGTTTAACAAAAAGACTTTATGAGCATACAAAGTCTGGGTAAAAACTGAATCGTAACTTTTTATTAATAAATGAATTATTGTTATAGAAAACTTTTGCGCTCAGATTTCAAGTTCATAATTTTTGAATCGTGAAGAGTATGCATTAGATTGTATTTTCAAATGAAAATGAAACTATTATAATTGGTTTCTATGTATAGATCCAGTTCGGTTATCAAAATGAATACTCTATACATAACTTCATCACATTTTCTCTATTTTGGGATTGAGTACTGCATTTGAAGTTGGCGTCTGACAAGTACCGCATACAGCTATCCATTTCCATTCAACAATTTCCATTGAAAATAACAAAAAAAATCCTTCATTACGTCGATGAATGAGCATTCACAATAAGATGATGCTACCTGCTTTGAAATAAACCAACAAGCCTAAAGGTTTTCTAATGTTCGTTTAAGATTTCCTTTCAATGTTATTCGTGGTGTTTTTTTTGTTTAATTGTTGTGAACTCAAAAAATTGTTCTTTCAAATTATCATTGGCCCTATACCATCGTCTTTCTTTCAGAAGATGACTAGAGAAAAATGTATATACTTTGTTTTCGTGCTGTGAAATGCATCCTTTTCTCTTCTGATCTCTCTTTATAAGTTGTTCATCGATCGGCTCATCGGCCTTTGTCTCTCTTACGTGTTTCTTCTTTTTTCCTTTCTGCCTTCAAGTCAATATCTGTTTTTTTCTTCTCCTTTCATGTCTTTCTCATTCCATGGACAAGAAATTCGATTCAACAGAGAAATATACATGGTTCATGGATGCGAGTCAACGATTGAAAGTGAACCGGGTGCCATAAAAGAGAGATTCTTATCGAAATTTGTGTTGCATCGTGAGCATCACCGTTCAAAAAAAAATCAAATCTTATTGTCACAAATACATCGAATGTACGGTGCTTACGAAGCACCCGGTGTGAAGCAAACAAGTCGTCGTACATGTGTGTACACAAAATCGTTGAGACTGTGTGGTTTTCTTGATTCTCTACATTCGTTTGATTAGACTGTGCACACCTTGGCGTACCATTGACGAACGCAAACTGTTAGTTCGATTTCACATGCTCGCGTAAACGGATCACGTAAGGAGAATTCTGCATTTGTGTGTGATTTTTATTTTTATTATTATTTTCATGAAAATAATCATAAATGTGTGCTGAATTTATATTTTTGTGTATTAAAATTGAATATCGAAAGCGTTAAAATTGATTTGTGGATACATTTTTAATGATTGCATGATAAAAAAAATGTATGTAATAAAAGAAGCGATCATCCAGTGAATATACATGTGTACAAAACATTCAAATCACGTCTGAAAACCAATTTGTTGATGAGATATATCAAGAAAAGAAAAAGAGTTGTTGGTACATAATTGATCATGAGTGTATGAAATGTTAGGAATGCTAACATTAAGTAAATGTGTAACAGGTTTGCATTTATGCTTTTTGCTCACTGGCAAAGTAATCTAAACATTGGAATTTTTTGTGGCTGTTGCAAGTTGCATTTTAGTTAAGCAATCGTATCAGCATTGTGATTTTAATTGATAAATGAATTTATCTTGAAGGTGTAGAATCTTTGCCGCATCGTTTGCAATTGCTTCATCATTGCGTTCTCGTCATTATCAACGATGTTCAGTGAATGATGGCCACTCATCTCAGTTCGTCGTGTTGTAATTAACCCGTTCGCTTGTTTTCTATCGCACGAATACGAATAAGAAAAGAAAAAGAAGAAAAAGTTATTAATAAACCGAAAGTTCGATGACAGCAACCAAAGAGAACAAGTGATAAAAACCAATGAAAAAGGAATAAATGGAAGATCAAGAAAACACCTAACTTGTTTTAGAATAACTATCATCATTATCATACTCATGCATCGATTATTCGGAACGTGAACGATTGCATAAAAACAAGAATACAAACACTGTTGTCAACATTTCGTTCACCGTTCAATCGGTTAAACAAGTGATTTCTTTGCGTATTCGATATAAATAGGCGACTTTATATGAAAAAAAAAATTCGATAACTCGTCAATTTGCAAAGAAAATACGGTGAAAGTTTAATACTCACATTTATACATGATCAGAATGGATCACATCAACGGTAAGTCAATGGCAAAATCGAATATAACGTGTCACAATTTATGATATACCAATTTATTCACACTGCAACCAAAATCCAAATATAGTTCAATATAGAATAAAAAGAAGACAACTGATTCTGAATTACACCGTTAAATGAAACCAGTTAAAATGGCAGAAAATCAGAATCAAAAACCCCAATAGTATTGTAATAACTGTAAAATGAAACAAGTTTTCTGCTTTCGTCTTGCACAGCACAAATTGCAAAGCCAATGTCCAGTTAAATTATAGAATGGGCTCTTTGCCATTTTAAACCATTATATTTGTATCATATTGCGATAGTTTAAAAACTACTGAGACGTACATTGATGCATTTGCCACGTGACCGTCGTGTATTTTTTTGCCATTATAGCAAAAGTTGCACGGTAATGCAATTGTGTCTTTTTTTTATTATTTTGTTATTGGTTTAATGTACGTGTAATACACTGAATACATCTTTTGTAGCGAGGACATATATGTATGACATGCGTCGAATACAAATACAATAATTTCGATCGTTTTTTTCTTCCTGTGTTTTTGTTCGTAATGAAATTTAGTTTAACAATGGACGCAGATGTAATAAAGGCATTGAAAACTCAAGCTGCCTACTTGGCGGGCAATCGAGATCGTCCGATAATAATTGTAAAATCACCTGCTGCGGAATTAAAGTCAACATGGAAAAAACAACCGTTAGACCTGTGCCTTCAGTATTTAATTAGCAGTTTGAGGTAATTTTTTTGTTGTTGCAATTGCACATCTAGTGTATTTATCTAAAGAAAAAAATGGAGAGAGAGAGAGTGTGTGTGTAAGAAAGAGAGAGATAGAGAAAGGAAAAAGAGCCAGAAACGTTTTTCCAATTAAGCTATCAAATCATTGGAGTACTTATTGTATATTAATGGCTTTCTGCATTTCCATCATACCACCATCATGTCATTGCACATATGAACATCTCTCTCTATCTATTTCTTTCACTCTGTCGTTCTTCCTATAGTTTTAGCAAATTTTTCACCAATATATTTGTGTAATGTTCTTCTTCTTCTTCTTCTTTTTTCTTCATAACATGCGATCATAGCAAAGAGACTGTAGACAGTGAACTAAATATCATCATTGATATTCAGTTATGCTCGTGGCGATATGCGCGGAATACAATCCAATATGTAAATGAATTGCTGAATAATAAAAATGCTAAATTTTATGCTGTTCGGGCTGAAGCATTTGGTTTAGACAATTGTACAAAAGCCCACCAGTATATGGATGTGAGTGTTTTGTAACATTTAAAAATGTTAACATTTCATTGTAATAATGTCGATGCGGCATTTATTGTGTTAATTCTATTATAAAATTCTTAAATTGATGGCATTTCAGGTGTCAGTTGTGACCAAATTGAGATTATTGAAATATTTCAAAAGTGAAGAGCTTCCAGAAGAGCTGGGTGGATCGCTATCTTTAAATCATGAACAATGGTTAAAGAGTCGAATCGTAAGTGGATTTAAATTTTCAAACTTTCGGCAAAGTCACATCAAACATGTGTGAAAAATGACAATGTTTATTTCTCTCTGTGTCTGTCTTTCTATCTCTCTTTCTGTAGCGCATTGAAGATTTTCGAAAATCCTTCAACAAAGTTATTGTTGATTTAGACAATTTCATCGAGTCAATGCAAGACCTCAAAACAATGCGACCCACGGAGATCAGTGAGATTTTAAAAAGAAGATCCGGCACAAATATTGAAATGCAAAACATCGTTAAAATGATCATAAAAAATGGTAAGACATTTCAAAATTGTTTTGTTTGTTTCACATACAATGTTTCTATGTTATTCATTCTTCTCGATCATTCATCACTATCGCGCACACTCATGTAAATTATGCTGAAATGTAGTCTGATAAAAAAACACACATATATATATGTCGAGTATAGTCGCGTCAACCGACTTCATCTGTTACTTTTCCCACTTTGTTATTCATCTGACGAAAATGTCATCATAAGAATATAAATTTAAATTCCACACTGGAGTTATGATATGAAGAAATTCCAAACAAAAACACTACTTCTTTTTTATGATACTTTCACAAAACTCGTTTTGCATAAATCACTTTTACGAATATTTTCTTTACGCTCTTGGTGTTTTTTTTATTCGTCACCGTTCTCTTTAAGTGTGAGAATGTTTGTGCGCTGAATATTGGTCGTAAATGTGGAAAATTTATAATTTTTTTTTTCTTAAATTTACATACAACATGGCATAGCATTTCATATTAGGTGAAGAAAAAAAAAAACATTTGTTCCTTTTTTTCGTACAATAAGTTTTAAAAGAGAAAATCGTAGAGCAATTACTTCTGTGTTGCAGCAAAACTGAGATAAGCTGTAAATGTGTGCGATTTTATTTTATTGATTATATTTATTCTTCTACACGTATATTTCGTTATTTTTCTTCTGTTCAAACATTCAAATATTTGTTTGTCTGTTTTGGTAGTACGTGCATTGCACAAATGTATGCCCGTTAAATAACAACATATGTGCTTATAGATATACTGTCTTTTCTTCATTGCTGCTGTAATGTACGACATTCGGTCGTTTTCACTATTTTCCTTCTTTGTTTGTTTTTAGTTGTGCATTTACTGCTTCACATGTGTTCGCATAGATATTGGCGAATAACGCCATCAAATATAGCTGAAACGTCGTCGTTTCGCTGCATCGGGCATTTATACATTTTTTTTGGTTAAAATTTAGAATGGTTCACCATAGGCGCTCGCATGCTTGGGATGTGAATGTAAAAAAAAAATAATTATTATGAAATTTGTTAGTTTACATTACTTCCATTTACTTTAAAACGTTAACTGCATTTCACGAGCCACAAAAAATGTGCAACTGTCGCACCCAAGTTCTCATTCAATGGTATTTTGTTTGGTTGGATGTTGATTTGGTGCGGTGCGCTACTGCTACGGCTGCATTCGAATAAAAACGTTGTATTTTTAAAGCCCATACGTAAAAATTCACATTAGTCAGAGAGTTGGTTGATTGACTCTCGAAATAAATGGTTGCTGCTCATACATCCAACTGTGCTGCTCTATTATAGTCGAACAATTTAATATAATTTGCAATTTTAATCAGACGAATGTTTTTTTTTTTGTTTTTTTGTTTTGTTTGGTTTTTCTATACTATACACAGGTAATAAATTGTTGCTCGAATTGAATGATTCGTTGAATAAAAATTATTGCAAAACACGAGATATTATCGATGCAAGAGAGTCGATCAAACGTATGCTCAATAAGATGGAGCAAAAGCAAATGGATTTCTCGGCGATCTGGTGTGAGTTTGAGACGTACTTATCAAATTTGAAAGTGGCAACGTCGCTCATCGACAACATTGGCACGATTACAAAATGGATTATGGGCAAAGGCGAAGAGTTAATTAGTGAACAGCATAAAATCGGTGCAGACTTGGAAACATCTGAAGCATTACGTGATGCGCATGATGCGCTCGAAATGAAATGTTGCGATACGTATGGATATTATGCTGAATTAAATTTTAAAATTCAAATGTTTACGAGCGAAAAAGATTCAATAACAGCCAATTCGGTAACGTACAAAGATTTACTAGCTCAAAAACAATTTATGGACTTTTTGTGTCGCAGTTTTGCGAATCGTTTGGAAAAGCGTCGCATCATTTTAATCACATGTGTACGATTTTATCGGCTTGTCACTACGTATTTTGAGCGCACAAGTCAAGTTTGGAAGCAAAATATTGTCGGTAATAAACTGTTTGACTATGATATGTGCATGAAAAAATTGAAATCATTGCGCGAATCAAATAATAATCTGGAACGAATGGTGGATGAATTAGAAAAAGAAGGCGAAAAATTAAGCGATCTACTATCGATGCCGGTGAAAGATGTGCTTGGACGTGACACAGGAGTTGATTACACCGATGAAATTTCCGTAGTACGAGATATTCTTCAAGAAACAACAAATCGGCGACGTATTTTTTCGGAGAGTTTTGAACTACAAACATTGACATTTGAACAAATTATCTCGATTTATTCGTATGAGAAAGATGCAATGATGGCAAGTAAATGGATCGATGACTTATTAGCAATTACGATAAAAACACATTCATACGTCGGATGCAATATATTCGAAATCCAAAGACAAAAACAAAACCTTCAAAATATTCAACAAACCGCCAGAGTATGTACCATTTTTACTGCCCAATATTAAGAATAATTTATCTAATTTTTTCAAACATTGCAGAGAATCTTTGATTACGGAAATCAGCTTTTGGAAGCGTCAATGGCCTTACGTATAAATTGTAAACTGGATGATTCGCAAAGTCGTGAAAAAATGAAAAGTCTACTCGAAACTTGGAAAAGTTTAGAAAATATAAGTCAGGAGCAACTGTGCCGATTGAGGGTCAGTTCTGTATTTCATCGCACTATGGAAGAACACTGCCAACAGCTAAAGGACTTGAAGGAAACTATTGAGGCCGAATCCGAATATGAAAATAAAGAGGAGAAATTGTTGCGGTTACGTCTACATATGCTTAATCGAGAGCAATTGATTCTTGAAATCGGTCGAATGGTGCGGCTGGGAAAATTGCTTAGGTCACGATTGAAGGAACCATTTGGGTAAACTATATTATTAGAGTTTTTTCTACAAACAACTAAATTTTATATTTCATTTTCTTTGATTTCATAGGAAAATCGAAGATGAAAGCGATTCAGCACTTCCAATAACACAACATGTTGAAAGCAACATGATTGCAGCCAATGCCATTACTGGAAAATTAAATGAGGTCTCCAAAATAGCGGAGTCGCTTGATGTTGCTTTGAGAGAAACTCAAACCATTCTTGAGCTTGACATTGGCCAAACAAACTCTTTAGAACGGAAAATCGACGGAAACACAAGTATTGACAGTCGAGGAAGCATCGATGTAAGTCATTCGATTTTAACTGTGAATATCTGTGACATTGAACTTTTGAAAAGCAAGATAGATTTTGTTAAATTGTTTTTGTTTTTTTTTTATTAGGAACTAAATTCATTTGCAAAATCTTCAACGGAAGATGAATCATTTATGACAGCATCTGAATGCACCTTAACGCCACATTCACATTCGTCATCATATGAAACAGCTTCGGAAGGTGGTCTAATGTCGCCATGGGCGAGCAGTGGAACGGATAAAAATTCATTTGAAACATGCAGCAGTTCTGACTCTGAGGTGCCATCAATGCAACTACTCTCTGGTGTTATTTCATCGGCAATCAATTCATTTTATGATTCGGACAACAGTTTTCAATCGATTTATAATTCAAGTGAAGATGTTGATGATGATTTGAACAGTTGCACGAAGAACAAGAGTATTGAATGTTCGGATTTATCTGATGTGTTTATTAAAGCTACAAAACATACTGTCAAGGGTTGTTTGTAACCCTGATAATAGGCTAATTTAGTTTTTGTTTATACAATTCGAAATTTCATATTACAATCATTTTCACACTAGTTTTATTATATACACTTTGGCATTTTTAGATGGAATATTTTGAATGTAAGAATGTTTATGAGAATACATCCCCATAAATATAAATTGAAAATTAACAGTTCTTCATTTGGAAGTGGAACAACTCTCGTTAATAAAATATGCTGACAACATTCACGACGAATATATTTATTGCTCCACGTCTTAATGTCTCAAAATTTTAAGAATGGGTAAGAAACTTCAAACGATTAAAAAAAAACGAAAAAAGTGCAAGAAAGCATAGGTTCTGACAAGGGTCCAGGGAAACGACTCAAAAATTAACCCCCTCAGATTTTTACAACATTTTCAATTATCTTCTAGATTTTTGGGGACAATTTTGAATTGACTTTTTTTATTTGTTCTCATTTTTGCATTTGTCATATTCGATTTTTTTTTCAAAGCCATGCTAAAAATGAATTTCTGAGTGAATGTTTTTAGAAATGTGACAAAATTATGTTTACGTTACACTTTTGAATTGGAAAAAAAACCTTATATGTACTAGATAAAATGGACTTTTGGAAAAATCGTTTGATTTTCTGGGGATTTGTATTTTTTACAAAATTTTAAAATGCAACCCCCTGAAATCGCTTACGTGAGAGCCTAGGTAAGGACGTGTATGATTGTAGAATATTTGTATTTATATCTGAGTTTTTATGTGATAATAACATTTAAAAGAAGAGACTTATTAAAACTCTTTCATTTTTTTTACTTTCAAATGATTTCCGATTCGAATCAGAATTAATTTAAACTTTCGTGCAAATATTTCATATCTGAGTTATAATCGACTATTTGAAATAAAACTATTCAATTTTGTCCTCTTGTCATTTCTATATTCGCGGTGATGATGTATTTTTGGCAAACGATATTTCATCGATGTTTGTTGGTCGTACGTTTTGTATGAAATATGTATCTAGAATATGTGCCAAAAAGTAAAATGTGAGACCTGATGCCTGTGATATTGGCAAATTGTAAACCACACATCGCATGCACGTAAATAGATTGTGGTTTAGCATTTGTAACATAGTACAAATCCAGCATTAGTATTTCACACATTGGCAACGAAACAAAATATCCATGGCATACTGATACATAGAAATATTGTTCGCTGAGTGTTCGCGAATGAGGTACGATAACAACAGAATCTGAATACTGAATGTAAGCACCACAGCAGAGTGAATATATACAAATATCGGTTGCGCAATCGAGTAAGTAAGAAAGCAATAGACACACGGTGAAACGTATAATATTATCGTTTCGTTTATGATCATGAGGGAATGGTAGTTGTTGTAATCAAACTTGTATCGTACGCGTCTTATACAGTGATCGGTTGGTCTGTGCATGGTGCAAATGTTTCGATGTGTATGACTGTGTTCACCACATATGAACACATGTTCAGGCAATCGTGCCTGTGTATGTTCACTTGAATATAAGTAACAACAACAATATCAGCGGCAAAAATGAAATAGAAGACGAGCAAAAACGTCAACAAACACACAGCAAAAACAACTTCTTTCGGTACGCGTCTTGGATCTCTGATACGCATCGAATGTTTTCTTATATTCAACGAAACCTCAGTCTGCTGTATCTCTTGAAACGCATCGAATATGTGGCGGTGTTTGTTCGCGTGTTACTGATTTAATAAACCAATCAAATCAGACAAACGCGTGCATATTTCGACAAGAAAATTTAACGAAAAATAAATCAATAGTCACACAGCTTTTGATCAATCACATTCGCATCCTATAAAATTGTGACGCTCTGGCCAATTCCACATTCATTTGTTTTGTTCATGGTGTAGTGCAGCCAAAACGAGAATTTTGTGAAATATTCGCATCAAATCAATAGATACTAATTAATCAATTAACGTATGTAAAGGAATTAACAAATGTACTAGTCGTTATATTCATGTTTATTCAACACGAAACAAATATAAAAAAATACGTTTAAGAAGTGTTATCTATTGAAGAAGAAAATAAAGTGTTATATAAACTGCAACGAACCGCAAATCGTCGAATTGTTGATAATTTTTTTTATCAAGCATCCAATGGAGATGTGCGTTCGATGACAGTCGGTGATATGTGTGTGTGCTCTAATTTAATAAATAAATAAATCAAAAACTTCATCGGATCCGGTGGTATTTCGAAAAGTTTGAAACTTCTTCGTAATTGCAATAATCTAACAACAAACTATGCAATTGTTCTAATATCTTAAGACTAGAGAAGAATTTAAACAAGCGAACAGAAAGCATTGAATTAACGGCACACATAAATTTATACATTTTGTGTTCTCCTTTAATAAAAAAAATACAAATTCAAACGAAGAAGAAAAAACGAACTGGAGAAAATGGATTCTTCAACGAATAACAGTAGAAATGATGCGATGGACACCGAATACGATCGCGCTGCATCAGTATCAACATCAACGACCTCACCTGCAACAACCGAAACGGCAACCACGATCAGCACAATAATCTTACAAAGTCATCCAATACAAATCGTCGTTGGACTTTTACAGGTAAATTCTTAAAAAATGTGCATGATCATTTGGTGCGTTCCTTCTCTCTGGATTGCTTTTTTTATTTCGTTATTTATCTGTTTTCGAATATAGCCCATTAAATATCGCCTTATAATAAATTATCAACTCCTTACTCGACGTCGTCGTCTTCTTCACATTTTTTTATGTGCGTTTTTGCTTGTTTTTCTTTTTTTTTTTGCAAATAATATCGGTTGCATTTGAATCCGAATCGTGCCATGTTCTTCTCGGTACCTCTTCTTCAATTTTTTTTTGTTGTCTTGATGATGTGTTCTTTCCATGCAAAACCGGGAACTTGAAGAAATATTTTATGGCAAATATTTTTGCTGATGATCTTTAAGAGTGTGTGAGTATGCACACGTGTAAATGTAAAACGATGCTATGCACAAAAATAAAAATGCAAAAATCTTTCCAAACAACAGATTAAAGTCAACTCTTAATACAATACATTTTTATGTGGCCTTTGCGAAATATGTTAAAATATTGGAATACATACTCGTAAGTTAGCATCGCAAAGCACAACATACGAATTCCATTTCCATGGTGACCGAATGATTACAGCCATACTAAATTGATGACATCAACAACGCTTATATTTGCAGTTGATAATCAAGAAAATTGAATGCGAAGAGAGTGTGAATGAAAATTAAATCAGTGGATTTCAATTTGTTGGTATTGTTTTTGTACTAATTTCAAATCATACAACAGAAATTGGTACCCGTGTTTTAATACACATTATTTCTCCTTTTTTTTCGTGTTCAACGGCCGAAAAAATTCTATTTTCGGCCGCTCGGTAGTATAAATTTAATGTTACCAACTATAAAAATCGAGAAAAACTACGCATACTTGAAACATTTTCATTCGACATTTGTGTTGATACAAAATGAAAATCGCCACTTTTAAACATGTTGAAGTGAAATGTGAATTGAAAAAAGCGGGTTATTGTGATTGTTACGCACAGCCTGTTCACAGTAATATTGGATCTATATAAATATTTATGGGCATCATAAAAATAACAGTAATTTTCGTTAAATGAATGTATATCCGTATGTCCAATCAAAAGAAGCATACTCTATCCAGGGAAAAATGTAAAAAAAATTCAAATGTATCAACAAAATTCTTTTTACTATTGGTCTTAATTTGTCTCACATCAGTTGTAGTTAAAACAAAAAAAGCCAAGAATATTTTTAAATTAAGATATGTTTTATTATTTTGCTAGTCACGGTAATTAGTTTCTTCGTCAACCATAAAATAAAAAAGTTCGAGATAGAATTGAAGTGATTTAGGATAGAAAAAAAACTGTATCCAGCAAAAAAAACGCGGTATGAAGTAGTTGAAAAGTTGGCGCAAATATTTCGCTCAAAACAAATTAGATGAAAAAATTGAAACTTAAACCGAATTCAAATTGTAAACATTAAACTGAAATTCGCATCACATCATTAAAAATATGTGCCCAATGAGGTTTAGTTCGTTTTGTACCTGGGGCATTGTGCATATGTACCACCGTTGCTCACACTGACTATGTCTACGGTGACAGTCGAAAAAACCATTGTAGACAATATATATGACACTGACAATGATAACCGTCGTCATTTTTGACACCATTTGGGTGCGGTCCAATATGAGAAATGCACATTTTCCTCATATTTAGCAAAATGCGCTATAAACTCATGAATGCAACATTTTCCAATGAAAAGGCCTAATAACACTGACAAAAAAAGAATTCTTCAATCGATTTTGAGATTTATTACGAAAGTAAAAGTAAAAGTCGAGTTAGAAAACAACACATATTTTTATTTTTGAACATTCAAATCGAAATGGTACTTGACACTCTCGCTTAAATTTCAGCATTCGCTTTGATTGATGCAACCAATGTTCGATGGCGAACACTTGAAATTTGTACTACGAATCAATATCCAAAACGGTTATGCTGCATTCAATTTGACATTTCATCGAATTTCATCGAAATCAACATATATTTTGGTAATAGCTTTGGCTTATCATTTTATTTGAATTGTTGATGAACCAAGTTTCAAAAGAATAAATGTTGATTTGTTTCCGACATTGCGCCCAAATTGTGTGCATTGAATGTATGTTTCACGAAATTACTACGGTAAACATTGATAAATAAATATTTTGTTTTTTAATTCACATTTTCTGAGCAATATCGCTTTTGAGTTGCTCATCTGGCTCATCCAGTAATGCACACTGTTTACAATATCTTTTATCTTCCATATGTTGAGTTAAAACAAGTTACTGACATCATACTTGACTATGGTATGCTCGACATCAATGAAATATATTTGGTTTTTCTAGTTTTCCAGCATGTGTCGTTTGAATTAGGATGTTCATCGAAATCAAAAGCGTCCTCGTTGTGCACAAATGAATGTATGTTATACATTATATTTATTTGCAATGATGATGGGAACCAAGTGTGCCCATTATTATTATTAACTGCAAAGAAAACGAATTTTCAAATAAGCTAATTAAAATAAATTGAAACTAGAACTAGTTGCAAAAAAAAACAGAGCTGACATATATTTAATAGAGTTTTTGGTGGCGATCATTGACTTGATTTCAAGCAATAACATTCAAATATTACAAATAAATTTGGTACGATAGACTTTGAAAATTAGAAATAATCAGATCTAGGATCGAGCAAAGTGGACAGTTGCTGCCATTCACCAGCATTGCTATTGGATGAGCGCATATGCAGCAAAACCATTCAATCGTTGCAATGGTAACCAGCTACTATTGGAAATCGCCTAACTACCTAAGAGCAGCCACTATCCAGTTGGCTGGAGTGTTTTGAGTTTGGAAATAATTTTTTTTCTCTTGTCAATGATTTACATAAACATACTGCTCTTACCTCTTTTGGTTCAACATTCGAAAAACCATGTGTTTACAGTTAAAGCATAATGTATACCGTGTGCTCATACGTAGTGTGCATTTAAATTTAAATAAATAAAATAAATGGGAATAAGATGTTCGTTTCGTACAGTGATCCTTTTACGCTTTCCAATTGCAAAAAAAAGAAGTTTGTTATACATTTATGATATATTCAAAGCATATTTCGAAAAAAAAAATGTTTCTCATTCCGCTTGGTAAAATTGTGCAGATAGAAGAAGATTCACAACGATTCGTTTTTAACTGGCAAATTGAATCGTTTGTATAATTGGCATGCACCTCAAGAGAATACATCTGTGGAGATTTCATTGATTAGATTGAACATTTTTTTTTATTTATTTATTAACATTACGACAAAACTATGTTCTGCACAGTGCACATTGTACACTGTACGTGCCTGTTCCCACTTGATTTTTATGATTGACTGAAGCAAAGCGAATTCATTTGCATCATATTGATACCTTTTATATTGTTAGTGAAATCGTAATGTTGGCGCGCACCAAGATTTTATTAACTTGTGAAAAAGAAGAAAAAAAAATTGTTACTAATTGACATAGATTTGAATGTGTATACAAATAAACTTTTCTTACCCAATTGTGAAATATATTTGTCTACGTCTTTCATGTGCTTAATACAAAACTTTGGTTTCACTTTCGATACTAAATCTTTGGTTACCCAAGCCATTTGTTTTTTCTTCATCAATTTTTTTTATCATCCATAATAATAAATAATGAGCGAATCATACAACCAGTTTACGAATTCATTCCGAAAATTATTCAAAATTTCATAATGTTTACTGTTGGAAACTGAGACTCTTGATAAATGATACTTTCGGTACATATATTAATTTAGATATGAATATGAGCCAAACTGTTCGATACGAGCATTGTATTGGGCATGATGAGTGATTTGCAAACTTTTGAGTGACTTAATTTATTGGATTCAATACGTTGACTTAGAACAACCGAACAGTTTTTTTTCCTTCCTGATTTTTGATCTTACATGTGTACATGTATCAGCGAGCAATTGAAAAGCAATTTAGCCGAAGCAAAACATTCTTGTGAATCGGGTTGAAAAGAAAATGCGTGTAGAAAAATTGGTCGAGAGAAAATCTATAAATAACAACTAATATGTTCATGTTTGCCACATCAAAAACCGAATTGTATGCGTAATTCATTTTGTTTTTCGCAGTTATTATATACTATACAGTATATTGAATATATTCAAATGTATGTATTCACGTTGGTCGGTCTGCAATAGTCAAATATAGATTCATAGCAGATTGAACATGAGTCATGAGAGACAAACACAGGCTAGCCGAGAGAAAATGGCAAACCGCAATTTGCGATAAAAGTGGCATATATGCATTGTTGCTAATTTTATTGATATAGAATTTGGAATATATATATGTGCATATATATATATATATTATGACGTTTCATATGAAATGTGTTTTTCTATTTTATTTATTTGTTTTTTTTTCTTTTTTTTTCAACAGACTAAAAATAGTATGTATGTGAAAGTTGTTGAGATTACGCCAAAGTTAAATTTTCTGGGTGCAAATATTGATGAAACGGTTGAAATGCAACGGGTAAGCTTTAATATGAATTTATTACTAGATTTATTATGTATTTTCTATCAAAAATATGAACAATGTTTCTGGTTATTTGTAAATCATAAACAGGATCATGAGATCGTCCATCGAAAATTACAAACGCAACGAACGCCAATTGATGAATTTGTTGTTAAAGCCGAAAAATTAATTGCCGATAAAAAAGCGAATCCAAAATTACTGGAAGCAATGGAACAATCATTGAATATTGCATGGCAAGATTTGTTACGAATTTTTGAACAGCGTCGTCATGTATTGAATATAAATGCAAATTTTCATGAGAAAATTGCCATTTGTTTGGGTAAAATGTCATCACTTGAAGTGGCATGTCGCGACACAATGTTACCGAATGAAATTGATGCGATACAGGATTTTTTGAATAAATTCAAGCAACTGCGTATCGATGTGCTGGCATCGGTGATGGTAACATTGAAAGAAGGCAACGAACTATTAGCAGCGTTAAGAGAAACAGCGATGGGCGGTCAATGTGACTCAAGACCAGACAGCATTAAAGTTGAAATTAAGAAATCAATGGCTTTAGTTGAGTTATGGCTTGAACAATTACATGATCGACGCAATGATTTAGAACAAGCATGGCAAAGTAGAAAAACACAATTGGAGCAATGCTTAGCCTTTGCAATGCTAATCCGTGATATAAATGAATTACAAAAACAAACGCGAAATTTAAGAGAAATTTACGACAATCGCAAGCACCAATTAGACTCAGAGGTGAGTGCAAGCAATGCACATGCTGAGGTAGTCGCTTGGAAGAATGAAGCGATCGTAATACGCGATCGTGCATTGAAAATAACAAGATCAACTGAAAAACTATCGAATGTCTGTCGTTTCGATAACAATAGCAATAATACGGCGTACATGTTCCTAAATGAATGCACTGAATTAGTCGAAGAATTGGATAATTATGAAGAACTATTATCGAAGATTTCATTGTTCTTTGAAAAAGCCGAAAAATCATTAACCTCTCTACGACAATTGGAGTCTGAATCATCGCATTTGATCAAAGAGAGATTGCTTGAAAAATGTACGTTGACACGCTTGATAAACGATACATCTGCACTTGTTGAAGAGCCACTACGTCTTGGCTACGCTTTATTAGATCGCATTGGACGATCCAATCCAGAAGCATTTGGCGTTGAAAAGACCATTGTTGAAATTGAAAATCGTCGAATCTATTTGGAAGAGCTTTATTCACAATATAATTTAGACTACATCAAAATCACTCAAACACTAAATGAATTCTACGAAACGTGTAATAGTATATCAGCTTGGCTTGTGTCGGTAAATAAAGCATTTCTCAGTTCAAATAATTCGATGGGCAAAACGTTGCATGACGGTACATTATTTCTTCAATTGAATCATCAAATGTTGTCCGATTTAGAAATTAAGGGAACACAAATTAATCGCTTGCTATCAGACACAAGCCAAATCCTTGAAGCAATCGATAAAGATGAACGCGATGAGGTGGATAAAAGAGTTCAGGCGTTACGCGATTCATGGGATGTTATCAAAACGATTGTCGAAAATCGTGTTGATCTTTCAACGAATTTCATAAAATTCTTGCAATTGGCTGAAAAGCTGGCCGAAATGTTCAAATGTGTTGAGCAAATTTTACAATCGTCACCCGAACAATCAAAGCTGAGCCAAATGGATGAACTTTGGGCCAAAATCTGCACCGCGTACACACAATTAAAAGAGGATGGAAACAGTTTCGTTGAACATATTTCAATGGTAAGTAGTTTGATCGTTTGTAGAATTGTGTGCTAAAAATATCGCATCTAACCATTTTTATGTATGCACTTTCACAAACATACAAATCAAAAGGAAATTCACTGTATACTGAGCTTGTCACAAAAATAGCACAGGGAAGGGCTTCTTTCAAAGACCATCGCCATATTAGTTGAAGTGAGGCAAATCTATGGCATCTTTTAGTGCGCGATGCTTATTCAACGATAAAGTGCGATCTACGTGCATTTCGGTTCGACACTTTCTATGTATGGCTAATCGCCACTCTCACTTTCATTTGTGTTCGCTCACTCTTCTTAGTATTTTAGAATCTGAAATACAAATCGAAATGAAACAAAACCATCATCTCGATTTTGAAAGAGACAAACATGTTTGGTTTATTATTCTCAACTACTAATCAGCATATATCGAACGTATATGTGTTCGTTTTCATGTCTGTTGTCGGCTTACGAAATGCGCATTTATTCTCCAGATAAAATTAATGCGCTCATCGCACATGTTTAAACCTTAGGACTAAAATCTATTTATGTAATAGGTTGTCGACGACACTCTTGAGAGGCAAACGACACGTAAGTGCGTTGAACAGATTTTGACGGATTTCAGTTTGCGGCAACTCGGTATTACTGAAAGTTGGGAAAAGTGGACCACAATAATACGCGAACGACGGGAAATTGAGGAAATTCTACAGAAAATTATGTCCAAAAATGAACTGGTGAGTGTGAACATTCACAAACTAATCACTTACTGGATTGAGAAGAAAAAAAAAATAATTAAATTAAATTGAAAAGTGTATTTTTTTGAAATGTGTTGTTGATTTTTTTTTTTCACTTTTATTCTGACAGTCTTTAATTTCCGCATCGAAGTTAGATGCACAACTGTATCCAATTTTAATCAAACAAACCACGGATTTGACCACACTCAAATCATTTTTACACGATAAATTACATTTATTTTTGGCCGATATAGAGAAGGCACAGATCGAAATAACTCATCATATTCAAACGACGGCAGCATTACAACCGAAGGATGACAAGACCATTGACAAAGTGACACAAGTGTTGAGAAATCTAAATGCAATTGTCAATAAGTTGGCATCCATAAAAAATGATTTTCAAAATTTAATCGATGGAATTGTCGATTTTATTGAAAGTTTAATTACAGCAAAGAACTCACTTGAATTGTACTTCAAACAAGCATCGCTGGCCTCCGATTCAAAAAATATCGACACAAAGATTACCGAAAATGAGCAATTTTCCAATAAGTTTCAAAGCGAATTGCGAATTTTATTCGAGCAGAGAGATCGACTTATTGCACAAATCAACAAACAAGAGCCATTCGAAACCAAAGACCATGATATAAACGTTGTAAACTCATTGTTGGACATTGTGAAAGACGAATTTGACACGAAAAACTCGGCATTAATCGAGAATCTAAGGAGCGAAGGAGACGTTGAACGATTCAAAACAAATTTCAAATCAATTTTTGAAGAAATTGATCGTCTGAAAAACCAGCTAAACAATTCAGAGGAACAACTTAAACAGACTTTATTAACTTCCAATACGAATTACATTAGCTACAAAAGTTACGAACAAGTTATTCAGGTGAGCACTGAAAAAAAAAAACTACGACATCAAAAGTGTCTGTCGTTCAAGTAAGGAGTATGACATAATCATCGAATTGCATTGCTACACATACTGTTTTTTTTTTAAATAACAGCACTGATCACTCCGTTGCATTGAAGACACACTGATTGATTCAATTAATTGACTTCATTTCAAATGTTCGACTTTCTATTTTTATATGGATTTCCTAATTGATTATTAAATATTTTGTTTTTCTTTCATTTCGGACGATTTCAACCTCAACCACAGGTTCTAGATCAACGAATTGATAAATTCATCAACACATCTGAAAATGTGTGCAATAACAACAGCAACGCAAAACCATTTATACAAAATTCAATAAGTGAATTGAAACGTTATTGGAACGATCTTAAGCGACAAGCTAACGAACTAGAGCGAAATATTGAAAATATGAAACAATATTTTACAGTGAACGAACAAGTAATTCCGTTTTGATTTATATTTTATTTACGATCGTTTGAACTTGTAATTTAAAAATGTGCTCTTTTTTCTTCCATTTCATTCACATGCGCAGATCGATTGTCTACATCGAGAGCATAGGGAATATTTGCAAACAATCATCAATGCAACGGTATTTGCGAAAAGTTCAAATGAAACAAATGAATTGATCAATAAAATTGATCGATATATTTCGGATCATGAGTCACGGCAACTTGAGTTGCTAAAAGATTTGGCAACGCTCTCCAAAATGGTTTATGGTTTCGATAAGACTATTGAAAAGTACAGCGAAAATATTGAATTATTTCAATCATTTTTCTCGACGAAAAATCAATTGAATTCCTTGGGCGAACAATTAGTGGAGGAGGAACGATTAAAAGTGGCAGCCGCCGAGGAGTATCGACGAAATCAAGAGATTCAAAAGCAACAACAACAACAACAACAACAAATCAAACCAATTGAAACCTCTGATGAAGTGGTAGATTTTGTTTCAAAGCAACTGCATCAAACGCTACAGCAGCAGCAGCACCAGCAACAATTGCTGGACGTAAAAGTGACTGAAACACGACAAGTGCTTTTGTTAGAGGAGGCACCACGTTTTATTCGTCACCTTTGTGATGTTACCGTTCAGGAAGGTGAACGGTGTCATTTTATGTGTCAACTACAAAAATTTAGTCCATCAACAATTATTGAGTGGTTTAAAGATGGTGATCCAATTACAAATCAATCAAACTATGTGATTCGTAATGAAAACGGCCTTTGCACTTTAGCCATTGAGCGAACTGTTGGTGGTGATTCGGCAATATTCAGTTGTCGTGCCAAAAATCATATGGGATCGCATGAAACAACGGCCAAACTAATTATTCAACCAAATGAACAAGTTGAAATGCTTTATCCACCGAATTTTGTGAATCCGTTAACAAATTGCAAAACATCAGCGGGTTCATCGTTGATGTGGCGTTGTTTTGTCGGTGGCACACCATTGCCAACTGTCCAATGGTTTAAAAATGACATATGCATCGATGTATCGCCACGATATAATATTTCTTATAATAACGGCGAAGCGATTTTACGCATCGACGATTTAACGATTGATGATGCTGGCACATACACAGCGATTGCTAAGAATATTTTAGGCGTCGATCAATGTTCGGCCATACTTACTGTTACCACTGATTCAGTCGTTAAAAACGGTTAGTTCAAGTTTATACAGATGTGTTTATATGATGTGCGCATTCATTTTCATATTAGTTTTCATTTTTTGGCAAATTTCAAATAATACATGAAACCGAAATGTTTACCCATTCTATTTTCAAATGGTGTCTTTTGATTTTTCAATTTGAATCTGGGTTAAATTTATTCAGTTTGCAAATGGAAAATGACGATCAACGAAAAATCAAATAAACAAACATTTTATTTATTAACTTGGCTTATTCTTTTATAATTGAATGAACAGCTGAATCCGACAGTATATTGCAATCGCATCAACAACAGATTCACCATGTTAGACCCGAATTTCGGACGCCGTTGAGAAATTTAACGGCTTCCGTTGGTCAACCGATTGTAATGGAGTGTGAATTAGTTGGAGAACCAAAGCCGAACATTTACTGGAAATTTAATGGCAAACCGCTTCTAATAAGTGATCGAATGAAAGTAAGTGAAGACAAACATTTATGTAGAAAACGTTTTCTTTTTTATCATTTTACAAATACTATTTTTTTCACAAGTTTATTTTTAAATAAGTGTAAGCTTGTTTTAAATAGCGCAGATAATTGTTTCAAAGATTATGGTCTGTCGCGTCATCTTCATTTTTTGTTTGGCATGTCTTCTATTAGTCAACTTTTTTTTCGTGTGTTTTTTTTTTCTTCTCCTAAGGAGCGAGCGTGCGTTTACCTCAAACTTTATGGTGGAATATGACGCTCGTTTTATCTCTCTCGCTCTATCTCACTGAACATGAACACACAAATATGAGCTATATTTACGACTCATTTTAACGCAAAATGAAAACTTATCCTAACGAATAAATTTAAATATGTTTTAATGGCGTTGACTTAAAGATGTACATGTTAAAGATTAAACTCTTTTTCGTTTATTTTTGTACGTTTATTGAGCAATTTGTTTGCATACATAGACATGTTTGGGATGATTGCTACTTAAACGCGATCACTCGGCACATATAAACATGGAAGAACAAAAAAAAAAAATAAACGGAAAAACACTGTTTGAATAATCTTCAATAAAAATTTACTGTAAAATTTATTTTTTTGTCGACAGTTGCAGCACGACTTCGATCGAGTCAAGTTGTTAATAAGCGAAGCTCAATCAAAAGACGTTGGAACTTATACACTGTGTGCTAAGAATATTGCAGGCATTGCGTATACATCGTGTGACGTACATTTAGAAATGACCATGGAAACGGAAACATTAAAAAAACCAACGGTATTGCTTCCATTGAAGGATGTGCGTGCCATTGAAGGAAAATCAGTGCAATTGCAATGTGAAATTAGTGGCTTACCCGAACCTGAAGTGATTTGGTATCACGAAAATAAACCGGTAAAAGAATCATCGGATGTGCAACTCCTATTTCGCGGTGATCGTTGTTCATTGTTCATCCAAGAGGCATATCTTGAAGATATGGGTGTGTACAAAGTAGTTGCTATCAATTCGGCTGGTGAAGCATCTAGCACGTGTAAATTAACAATTGAATCTCTAAATGAAACCGATCCAGCCAAACGAAGTGCAGCAAATGCAATCACCAACATATGCGATGGATTTGCACCACGATTCGAGCACCTTTTGTGTGACATTTTAGCAAACGAAGGTGAAACAATTCATTTGGAGTGCATGGTGGTTGGCCAACCGAAACCGACAATCAAATGGTTTCTGAGCAACAATGAAATTATTGAAACTGATCGAATTCAATTCGCATACAGTCCGGACGATGGAAAAGCAAAACTAATTTTGAAAAATGTTTCAATCGATGACAAAGGAGTGTATACTGTACAAGCAATAAATTCACTTGGTGAAGCGAAATGTTTTTCACATTTAATTGTAAAATCGATAAATACGTCCGAATCGTTGCTAGATAAACAAGTCAAAAGTGAAGAATTACATCATTTTCTTGATTTTAAGGAGAAATTCACCGATAAACACGCATCCATTGGTGACTCAGTCAAATTTGAATGTATCGTTGCTGGGAAACCAAAACCGAAAATTCGTTGGTTGTTTAACGATAGGCCCGTTCAAGGTTCAAACTTTTTACCATCAACCAGTGGTGATCGACAGGTATTGACAATTCCAGCGATCAGCAATGAAACAATTGGAAAGATTTCATGCGCAGCAGAAAATGATTTCCATAGAGAAATGTGCTCAGCTTATTTGACCTTAGTTCCAGATTCGACGCCACTATCAACTAAGCTAACGCCATTGTCATCACAACAAACTGAACTCTATACACAGGAATACGATACAAGCTGTTCAAATGTTACCATAAAGAAACAATCAACAATATCGACACATACGTCACAAATTACATCGTTTCAAAATGGTGCGCCAACAGTGACGATAACTGCCGATGCATCAATCGGGCAGATTGAAAAGCCAATCAATATTGATGCTAATGGAATTACCGAACTGAAGAAAAGTACCATCTCACAAACAAAATTGGTTCAACCTGGCGAAAATCTATTCCCAAAAACCGCAAAAAGAGAAACAGCCCCAAGATTTATTTCACCATTCATCGGTAAAATTATAGAACAAGGTTGCAATATGATATTGGAGGCGGTTATTGACGGTTTCCCAGCACCAAACATTGAATTGACCAAAAATGGAGTTCCACTTTGTGAAAAAGAAAATGTCACCATTTCCTGCAAAAATAATCGCATAATAATTACACTACAAAATGTTACCACCGCTGATGCAGGCCGATATTCTTGCAGTCTTACTAATCCTATTGGAAACGCACTTAACACAGCCGATGTTGTTGTAAAAAGTTAGTGAATGATTGTTATAAATCGATTATATTATGAGAGTTGAATCATTTATTTTTTTCATTTTATAGAAACTATTTTTCCACCGGTTTTCGGACATCGATTGCAAGCAAAAGTGGCCAAAAATGGAGACCGTGTACTAATGGATATAGAAGTGTCTGGTACACCACAACCAAATATTACATGGTATAAGGATGGTAAACCATTAGACGACGCCAATATTTCGGCACACAAAATTATTTCAAGCGGAAATTGTCATACACTTATCTTTGAGAAAGGTAACTGAACGCAATCAACTGGTGAATATAAACGATTTTCAAAGTGTGTTAATTGTATCATTACAGTGTGTAAACAAGATTCCGGTACATACATGTGTAAAGCTGTAAATGATGCTGGAGAAACACAAAGCATTGCTGATTTTATAATTTTAGAACCGACACCCGAACAAATGACTGACATTGTAAAAACAGTTGCTGTCGAGAATGTTGATGAACACAGAGTACGTATTTTTGTATGTTTGATTTCAATTCACCGAGCGAAAATCGAAAATCTCAAAAGCACATAGCTCAGAGCAATTTGAAAATTTAAAAAAAAATGAATTTCTAAAATAGCAATTTATGGTTCCTGAGTACTCGAGTACATAAGTGTTGAAGGGAATTTTTTATTTTGAGGGGCAGATGGGGTCTGCGTTAGAATAAATTTTATCTAGTGTTCCCCAGCAAATCGAAAGATTTTCTTTCAGCAAAAATCCGCAGTAAATCGAAAAATCTCGTCAACACCTATGATATTTGAGTTTAGAAATGAATAGTCTCTAGTAGAAATGTCTGCAAATACGATTTCGATTTCGCAACGTAAAATACAACACGTAGTATCGATATAATTCTCTTTGTAAAAGTGTTTCGCACACTTTATGTTTTGTTTCACAAAACGATTGTGGTAGATGTTGTTGAAAACGATAAATAGAGTCAAAAACAGCTATTACCACAATCAATTTTGTATTTTTGAAAATATTTTCTATTCATTTTACTAAAAAAAAACTCTTCTATTAAACGATTATTAAACACAAATAAAAAGGCGGCAAATGAAATAAATACGCCCACCATTTTACCCAAATCATATCATTCCTCGCAAACTGACTCCATTACACAGTCCAACACGCATGGATCCAGCGAACAAACCATTCACACTCAAACATGTCGAATAACTGAAACAACAATGCGAATGGAACATAAATCACCACTTCCCGACATTGAATTTAATCCATCACCACGACCATCACCAAGACCATTTGAATCAAAAGAAATATTTGACAGTCAAATCAAACCCCCCACCGATGTAGTATCCATACCACAAAAACAATTTGGTCACACTGAACAAGATCATTCGGTTGCCACTAAAACATTTGAAAATATCCGATACACAACATTAGAAAAGGATGCGTCAACTAAAATACCAGTCATTCGAAGTGAAAACAATTTTGTTGAAGAAAAGCCTGAAGCTCAATCGAAATATTCTAGTGTATCACAGCGTATTAAAACACTCGAACAATGCAAGCAAGAACAACCAGTTTTTAAATCGATCCCTGTATGGAATACATCGAATGAGACTTCAATTGATCAATACCATATGGAAAAAGAAACGTCTATACCATCGTATCAATTAAATGGAACTTGTACACCAAACTCAATCAAAGACACTCTGGACAAAATTTCGAATAAAATGTATGAATATGAACAGAGCCGCATGTCCAACGGTTATGACTTGAAAGCTCCAGCTTTAGTTAAACATGTTACACCAAGTGTGAATGGATATCAAAAGTTCAAGGATATTTCTGTACAAGAACAACCGTTAAATTTACAACGTGGCGAGGAGCCGGAATTTTGTTTTGCGCCACGTTTAACAACCGAAAGAAAACCATCAATTGTCGAACGAATGGAAAAGAGTTTGGAACGGGAATTGGAAAAAGGACCATCAAAAGTGGTACCACATTCAGTTCGAATTATACCACCATCATTGCATACGGTTTCAAGTGAATCGTTTGAATCGTCTAAGCATAGCATCATGAAACAAACGTCACAACCGGAAATGATCGAACAAAATAAAGATTTTAATCAGATCAAACACACTTTCCATGAACATAATAAACCTTTACAAAGAAATACTTTTGACCAAGTTCCTTCACCAACACAAGCTCCTAAAAAGGTTTGATCTATGTGTTTTCGTGTGAAATATTGTTAGCGTGATGTAAATCCATAACTCGTAATAAAATTAAATCAACATAAGCTAATAATATTCATGTCCGAACAATTTGATTCCATTGTTTTTAATTTTACCTTTGTTCACCTTTATTCATCATTGCTGGTTAACCAAATTAGATTGATAACTTAGCTTAATTGTAGTTTTATTTAATTCCATTAACTTATGCTAATTATATGTGATTTAAACTGTTCGATGCTAAATTTTGTAAATTGCATGCATTGTTTTTTTTCGCAACAAATAATACATATATTATCTAATCTCTCTATAATAAATTTTATTTTACAGAATCAATTCAATACGTCAGTTTGTTCGAATGTTTCATTTACAACCATGGAGAATCAAGTGAATGATGAGTACCGATCAAGTTCGGTTAGATTCAAAGAAAGTGATTCGGGAAGAGATTCAAATCAAAAAATTCATCCATTGTGGCGGCCTGGCTGTGAATCTGACGCTGAATCACCACGATATCGATCAATTAAACCAATTCTAACACCAACAATGGGTCGATCATCGGTGGGTCCGTCTCCTATATCACCAAGTGCTTTTGAAAAGCCACAACGATTTACGTCGACCAGTGAACAATTTACACGTGATGTTCAGGTGTTGAAACCGAAACCAGTTTCCGCTCGTTATCAATCGAAACCATTTGCATCGGATTTAGTAAAATCAACACAATTTTATACAGCCACAACCGGAACACCATATCACAACCAAAAGAATGTTGCTGCAGAAAGTAGTAGTACGATGGAAATACGAGAAGCCACCGAAAGTACTCAACGTATCGTGAATATGTCTTCGACCAGAAAAATTATTACATATGATCAACAACAACAACAACAGCAGCAGCAGCATTCACAAAGCACTGTTGAAAAATCGTTTGAACCATTTCCATTCACAGTTTCGCCAACTCCGAGCCGACAAAAATACCGCCCACCACCAACTCCAACAAAATTCGTTCCCGGCGAATTTCGTGAGAGTGACTATGACAGTGAAATTGAGTCGATGAAAATCCGACCATTATGGACACCGAATCCAATCGAACTGGAAAATTTGCACTATCGACATGTTTCACCTCCAACACCCGGTCGATCTTCTAGCGTTCCGAAACATTATTTTGAACGAATTTTAACACCAATGGAATTTGACGTAAACACTGTTGAAATGCCCAGTCAAATTAAAATTCATCCATCAAGCCCGAATTATTCAAGTCAACAACAAAATCAATTTAAAACGCAAACATTGGATCGATTCCGTTCGAAAAAGAAAAGTAGCACGAATCTTGGAACATCTAGTCAGGATGATATCAACATTACACATTCAACGCCAAAATATAGTCGCATGCGATCACCGTCTCAATCATACCATGAAGAATGTAGAGCATCTCAATACGGTAAGTTGGTAATACTTTTTTTCACCAAATAATATAAAAAATGCCATAAAAAAGGGTTTTTGCATGGTTTTCATCTTCATTAAAAGTTTTGGATAAATTACATTTCAATGAGATTTTTAACACTCTCCATAATAAATATAAATAAAACAAAAGGTGAATCATTCATGTGTCATACATTTTTGGTTGGTTTTCAACAATGAAACAACATTTATTATTTAAATAAATACGACATCAACCATTGTTATTAGGTACGAAATGTGTAGATGAAGATACAGGTCTAATTTACTTTAAATATGACTTTGGCTACGAGTTCGGCATCCTATTTCCGGGTGAAGGTAGAAAATATATTGGCGGCGGTAACAGTAAATATTCTCAGCCAATTGCCAAACAATTTTTACATAATTCAGCTGGAGCGATCGATATACCAGTTACACATGAAAATACCATCAAATATAATATGTGGAGACAAGGAAATAAGAATAATATTCAAGATATCATGCGAACAAAGAATAGAAGAAAGTTACTTGGCAAAAATCAACAAACCGTTTCATTCAATATCGATGAACTTCATTCGCCGGGGATAAAACACCATTTACCGCGAAAAGGTGCATAGTTTTTTATAGCTATAGCGAAGAGTTAATATATTAGTTTTTGTTACAATTCTTGCTTCGCTATTATTGATGTTGTAATGATATTGATGTTGTATTTTTAGATTTATAAGAATACACACGCGACAACGGCTTTTAATTTTTTTTCTCTATAAAATAAGCATAGTGCACAAAATATTTGAATTTCTCAGAGCATACATTGGAACTATAGCATCTAAGTCAAGCACTCTAACGAAAAACACTCAAAAATGACTATTTAAATAGTTCAAATAAATGCTCGGTAATTTGACGCTAATTGAGCTCGAAAATGTGATGGACTAAGTTAAAAAAAAAAAAACATTTTCATCTCATATATTTAATCGATGTTCGATGTGTTTTCAACTTAATTATCATTCGACCATTCTTTGCTTCATGCCATTAAAAGAAGTTTTGATCCAAGTGAAGTTATAAGAAGATATTCATCGGGTATAAAGTGAAAAATGCAACTAATGAAAATTAATCAATAATTTAAGGCTTAAAGTGTGTGCGTAACGTGTTCTAACTAATCTAGACATTTTGCATGTTCCTTCTTGCTGATTTAACAGACGAATTTTTCGCCACGATTGGTTTTAATAGCTATGTTTATCGGTTGTGTGCAATGATGTCTATACAATTGTGTGTGTGTGTACATGTGTGTGGTTCGAGAACCTTCTTCATTCATTTTATTGCATGGATTTTGAGCTATGGGAATAATCACGTAAGTCATTGTCATTTTTGTATCTGTACACGTTTTTTGTTTGGAAAATGCATGTGCAATCTGTGTATTGTTCAATAAATTTATTATGTTAAAAATGTTGGAGAATGTAACATTTGAAATTAAGAAAAAACTACATTAAATTTCATACAATTTTTATAGAAATGGTGAAAGAACAACGAGTTTATACACCGATTGAGACGAATTACACGATAGTGGGTGCATCACAGCACGATCAAGTGAAATTACCAAAATATGCGCCTTTATTTGTGGCGGTGGGTTTTGATGATTTCTTTTATTATTTTATTCATCATAAATTCATCAAATGTATATTTAATCCAGACATTAGGTTTGAGCTATGGATATAGCGGCTGCTATTTCATAGGCGCTATTCATAGGCACTATTTATCTCGTTTTAATGCATTTATGCATATTGTGCGTTATTTTCTACATCTCTCTCCTACTCACATTCAAATGTACAAAAGAATAGTAGGCTATTCCTACTCGGTGTAACAAACAGCACACGAATTAAATAGCGCCTATGAATAGCGGCTATGAAATAGCAGCCGCTATATCCATAGCTCAAACCTAATGTCTGATTTAATCCATTTAATTTCAGCCTCTAAGAAATATAGCTGTGCTCAGTGGACATACAGCAAGATTTGAATGTATTGTACAGTGCGAACCCCCTCATCCATGCGTGGAATGGTATCGTAACGATGTTCCCATCCAAAATGGCAAATATTTTATTGAATTTCGAAATGGTGTTTGTCGCCTAACCATTCCCGAAACGGTTCCGAGTAAATGAAACGACACTTTTGTTTCTTTGTTTTTTTTTTTTAATATTCTTTGTTAATGCACAGGTATTGTAATATTTCGATTCTATTTCAGGTGATTCCGGTCTATACCAAGCAAAAGCAACAAATGCAGTGGGATCTGTAGTGACCTCAGCTGAACTTCTTGTCAACAACGAAATTTGGGGAATCCGAAAATAGATTCATAGTCATTCGTTCGCTTGTTCATCAAATCGAATCGAAATGATAGTTCACATATTTTCTACTTCCCATTTATAACAGATGCAACGATCCATGTGGAATAATTTGCTTAAAATTAATTTTAAGAACAAAATATATTAAACAATGGACGAAATGTAGAACTAGTGACAGATTTTTTTTAGATTTTAGTTTAAACGTTATGTTCGAAATGTTTGCTAAATCTTTGACTCGCATTGCTTTCACTCTTTCTGCTTTCAATGGTTTTACATTTTAATTTGTTATAATAATACACACAAAAAAACGATGTTTAATGAGAAAATGAAATATTTGGTAATTTTTAAATATTTTCAACTGTTTCAAAATAAACGTATACTTTAACAAAACATTGTTTTACTTTTCAATAAAAGTTGTTGTATTCAGAGCTTTGAATGAGTGAACAACGCTGCCATCTATCGCTTGTAAGTTAAACATTCGCAATGGTCGATATTCAAATGCGAACACCGGAAGTGATGACCAACATAATTCAGTCAAATAAATTTGAGTTCGAAATTTGAACAAACCGATGTGTACGGGCGATCGCACAGCAAAAGTGCACGATAAAATACTTCAACAACAATCAAATCAATGTATTACATTCATAAAAGTGATGTGGAATTCGATGAAAAAGGAACTTGTTGATTTTTAAAAATAGAAACATAATCATCAGCGTATCATTGTCAGTGTGCCAAAACATGAATATCGTTCTATTTTCATGATATTTGTTTCTGTATTCGAATCGAATTTCTATAGCTGAATCGCTTAATGATTTTAAAAAAGAAGAAAAAAAATGGGGGAAAATAAACCATGGAACGTGAAAATAATCGTTAGCGATATTAATGTTTGACATTTTGATGGTTTGGAGCCATCATATATTTCGATGTTTTGTAATTTTTGCGAATTGCACTTGTAAATCAGCAAACGAATTTTGATACGAGCAACCATCGCCTATTTTTAGTCGACATAGTCAACATTGCATAGTTTACAATAAATCAAATGTGTACATTGGGCAGTTAAGAATTAGTACGTTGACTAAAATGCAAATGACGAATAACCCGTTTTTGATTTGAGGTGCTTGCGATGTTTTCTTTTTTAATTCACTTTTCTATCTAATAAATGACTATTTGTCAAATTTTTGTTTTGTCTGGCGTTAAGTAGAATGTTCAAGAATAAACTGAATGTGATGGTGGCTTTTAATTCGGTTTTTTTTTTCTCTTCTGGTGGCTCTATGAGTACTTCAATCCAAACCGTGTTAAAAACAACTTTGAATCGGAAATTTTTAAAAGTCTCAAGAGTTGTTTTTCGTTTTTATTTTGGTAGTCGGTATAAACCACGCTAAACAGGTCATTTAGTCCGATGTGCTCATAATGCTCGGACCTCAATCGTTGAACAGCAATTTATGCATGTTTTTGTTATTGCTGGATGAAAAGTTGCCTATTTTTGAATTGTGATATGATGAAATATGAGAATCACCTAAAAATATTACATCATTTTCTATAGAATCAACAACTACTTTTTCCATTTTTTTTATCACAAAGATTTGAATTTATTCAATTAATTTTACATTAGTGATGGCGCGTTACAACAAATACCAAACTACACTTGAAATTCATCTATGTAGAAGTAGATTTTGTTTTAAAAATGTTGAACATTTCAACAATCGTATTTGCCCTTTTTCCTAATGTACCGTGTAAATTTCGTTGTTTTTAGAACAAAAGCAGAAGCGATTTATTGTGTATTCACAGTCAACACACAAGAAGAAACATAAATGTCCCTACTATCTAATAATAGCTATCGTTTCACGATCGAGTACTCTAGTTTTTGTTTTCAAACTGACCAGATATGAATGGGCTACCATGTTGAAATCAATCGATGTGTCTTTAATCGTTGGTTGTACGAGTGGGGGGGGGGAATAGCATGTATAAATTCCTTAACACTCATCATGTATTCATATTTTTTTCAGTCCTCTCTAACAAATTCAATGAATGCAAAAACTCGTTTCTCTTTTTTTCCTGATCTATTGTTTACATTATTTTCCCAAAGTCTGTATAATCAAAATCATCATTGACTGCAAAAAAAATACATTGATTTTGGCAAATGTTCAACGTTTCTTTCGTAGAGGCATACTTAGAGAAATGCAATAAAATTCATATAAATGAAAGTGTCGAGAAAAAGTGCGTAAAACTTTGATGAAACTAAGTAAATCAAATAAAATAACTGTCGTAATGAATTGAAGTAAAGAAAAAAATGACGAGAAAAAAAGAGTCCCAAACAAAACATCTCACTTTGCTCGATTTATTCGTTTACACAAATGTTCAGCGCACAAAAATGTGAACACTTGAAACAATCACTCACTTTGCCGCCATCATTTGTTGATGCCGTTTATTTCGTTTCATTTATAAAACAAATGAATCAACCGTAACAGCTCTATCAGGCCGCGCGAAAATATTCGGTTTGTTTTCATTTGTTGAATCACCAATCGAATTTCGTTCATTTTTACTCGATCAATCATATATGTTTTTTTTTTTTTTGTATAAATGATTAAATCATTGTCTTCTTTTAATTCGTACTCTACTCAGCAATGATTAATACATATTTTTCAATTGAATCAAGACATAGTTGTATCATTTGGCGCGGTCGTGCGACCTTTTTTTCTCGAAAACTATGTCATGCCAACCGAAACTGTTGATGTTTTCCTTGTATGCTCACTTGAGATGTCTCTCTCCATTGTGCGACACTATTCTTCGTAAACAAAATCATAAACATATTTTTTTGGATTGAATCGTTTTTGTATGGAAATAGATATGAAAAAAAAAATTCTATTCACGAATCACCAATATTAATGTTTTATGACTGAACTAATATGCATATATGTATTGGTGAAGATCTATTAAAAAATCTATCTGTGATACAGGTGACGATATTTATTATTACAATACAGTTGTACTCGTATGAGTTTTCTTGTTATTTTTATTTTATTGGCAATCGATTTATCGATTATTCATAGCGATAGATCTGGCTTTAATAAGACATCTGAAAATAAATTCAAATTACCAAATGTTCTTCGTCGTAATTAAATGCATTTGAAATTTGATGTAAGGTCAAGCACAATAAAAGAAGAAGAGGTAGCAGATGTAATGAAACGTTGATATCGATGCATTTTGTCACGTACATTACCAACGTCCATATAAAGAGAATAATTTTCGAACTTAATTTGTTGCGACATTTTCATTGAAATTCTATATTTGGTTATATTGTGGCATCGTTGCGTATGATTTATTCTACACTATAGTTCAATATCAGCAGCTGTAACTGATTTTTTATTTATGAAAAATGTTACAATCCATAATTTCAATCGCAAAACAAGAGATAGAAATAGAAAATCGTTTGAACTTGTGCAAGATTTGTAACGACTGCAATAAAACAGTCGAAACTTATGTTCACCGGTATATGTTTTAATATACGCAAACGTTTCTCAAGAAAAATCGAAGAATATTGTTCAAAATCATTCATAAGAAAAATTGAAAAATAAATAAATAAATAAAAAACAACCAAATAATAAGTTTAAGTTTAAGTTTATTTTTTTTTATTATACTTCTTTCATCTTGTATCGCTGCGGTCTATCAATCATTTTGTGGATGCGTACTTACAGCGAGATCGCCAAATATTTTTAGATGTCAAATGATGAGGCTATGAAAATAAAATCTCGACCAGTCCAATTCATAAAAAGGCCACCGAATTTGACAGATATTCGGGTACAGAATATTTCGGTTATTTGCGACTGCCGGACTATTCGATGCAAATATGTGAATCACACACGAAAGGAAAAAAAGAGAGACAGAGTATACTATAACAAATAAATTTGAACTAATATTTATCATCGACACGAACATTTTTGAATCCATGCGAAAACGCATCAGTGTCGACACTAATACTGTTTACTTGGGGAATCTAGCACAGGTCACATGCAATGATGAAAGCTGCTATTTGCGTTCCCATTTGATTTATTTTGGAAAACACGATCAATATTTTTTGACGGTGATTGTTTGTGAACAGAGTGCGACTCTTTATGTGTGCCGTATAGTTTTTTCAGTTGGTTGGCGTTGTTGTTACATTTTAAAAGCGAAAATTCCGATGAAACATATTCCAATGTTGATTTTGATTCGATTCGTCTCGAATTTCTGGTGGTAGCGAAAGTGAGAACGAGAGAGAAAAATGAAAAAGAGTGTGTAGCAGCAAATTTACAATATTTTCGTTGCATTCGTAAGGCGTTCGGGCGATCGAATATTTCTAAAAATAAAAGGCCCGAACTATTCCGTATATCACAGTTAAAGTGCGCAAGAGAGCATCAGCCGCAAGAATATTTAGCCGACAAAACTTACGATCCACACTCTTAGCTCGCTGTTTTAAAACGACGGACGTCTTAGTTTAATATTAGTCTCGGGATTACGAAAAATCAAATCTTTGCCTATCTTATGGGCACAAGATCGACTTTCTTAGATGATAGTGTGAATTTTTTTCAACGAACTGTCAATTGAAAACAATTCAACAATATCAATAAGGAAATAAATAAATAACATCGACGATTACTTCTGTTTTCAATAAGTTTTTTTTAATGGAATTTAGTGCTAATCAATCGTTTTTATTGGAGTAATCAACTACGCCATACGAAAGAAAGAAGAGAATCGAGAAAAAAAAAATTATAGTGAAGAAGCAGAGAGAGAGAGAAAAGATTTGAAATTGTTGAATAGGAAGAAAATTTTGTGTGCATATTGTGTGAGATATAAAAGAATTAAAAGTGTTATATAATGCATCGGCAAAATTTTAGTTCGCAACAACAAAAAAGCGTGCAAGAGTATGCTGTCAATCAGGACAGCAATCAATACCATCAGCAGCTACAGCAGCAGCAGCAGCAACAACAGCAACAACAGTTAGCTCAGCAACAAAGGATTACGCGTACCGAGCATACTATTCGTCAAGTAACGCAGCAAAGAGGTCAGTTAAAGGGACCACATAAATTGGACAAAATCAGAACGACAAAAACAAATTTTACCTTTTTTTCAACTAAATCAAAATTACAACAGTTGTTTCATATTATTTTCTACGCTGTTTACAATGAATATGGTCACTGTGATATGTTCAATTGTTGATTAATGGCAAAAAGGACAATTGTGAATGGAATTTTATAATTCGAGGAGAGAAAGGCAAAAAGAGATGAAAATTAGAAGGGAAATAAAAAATAAGAATCAAGTGTGCCGAATAAAATGACGTGAACGGATTTCTATAATTTGCAAAGGATTAAATACTAGTCGAAGTCTCTTTCTTTGTGTGTATGGATAAGTTTCTATTAATAGACGAGAGATGCTGCAGCAGCTTAAAAAAATTTCTGGGCCAGAATGTTGTTACTCATTTCACCAGAGTCGCTGATATTTATATCTTTCACAATTATTTCATTTGGTTTTTCATTTTATTCGATAAAAAAGCAGCACAGCCACAAACGCAAAATATTTTCATTTTTTCTTTGTCGCCATTTGATATTTACACTTCGAGAATCTCCTCTCAATGCTATGGTCCATTGAGAAAAGCCAACTAAAGCATTTTTCTCGCAATAAGAGAGAAAAAAAAAACACATTTGGTTTGCGGTACAACCAATTTCAACATTTTTCTACTTCTTCTTTTTATTCTTATTCGTTTCTTTATTTCCTTCTTTTTTTGTTGTGTTTATTCTGTTATGTTACCGCATACACCGAATTATCATGTACATTTGCAAAACAAATTCGTTATAAATTTAGATGACAGGGAATTTTTGTTGTTGTTGTTCATTTTCACGAGTATTCGAATATGTGTCACACTTTGGAAGCGATTGAGAAATATTTTAATGAATTATCTGGGTGACACCTAATTAAATGCAATACACTCCCAGACCATTTCTCTCTCATTTCTCCTGATGAAACGAATTAAAATCTCAACTGAAAAGTGCATATCCATCAAATCTTAACCTTCGACTTAAATTCGAATGCAATCTACATGATTATGTTTGCTTTAATGAGAACTTCCCAGTAATTTTACTCAAGGTGAATTATGGCTATGCTTTGAAAAATGCAGGAAATACCTGCAAAAATGCAATTCATTTTGTTCAATCCGTTTCGTCATCTGTCACCTGAAAAATGTCGCACGGGTAATTAAATTGATAAATTAACTTTCAGCGAGTAATTTAATGTAATTAGAATTGCAACTTTTTGCAGGATAATGTTGAGCGTTATGGGAATGAATCAAATTGAAATTGATGTGAATCCTCCAATAATGTGTATAATCTAATATTTAACAGTGCGATTTAGATTTGTGTGGGTGCCGCCTGAACAAACATTTAAATATTTTTCAATCATATACATAAAAATTGAATAATGTAAGTCGATATATGTATACATGTGTGTAAATGTATATGTGGTTGTAGACGTTGACTATGTCGAATTCTCCACTGTACAGTTTTCTCATTCGTAAATAGATTCATTCGTAATGTTCATGTGGGCGACTAGATGTCGATGATAAAATAGGCATTCATATAACGTGCGAATAAATTCAATATGAGTTTTCTGACATTTATTTATCCACCGAAATTGGACGCGGCAATTTTTTTTCGGCTAATCACTCAGCTATTTTTCTCTCTCACGACAGAAAACACTTTATTTCAGTTTCTGCGAATTATAAAAAGAACATGATGTAATGATTGGCTAGTTATACTAGGGACAATTATAGGACAAATTATTGCAAATAAATCTGAACGAATGAAATGTAAACAAAAAGTATAAAATCAAATATTCAGAATGAGAGGAGGAATAATGCCAATGCGTTGAAAACGACTACTTAATATTCATTTAAAACGAAAATGTCACGCATTTCTGCACGAATTTTTAATTTTTTTTTTGTTTGAAAATTTCTTCTCATATTTTCAGTACATGGTTTAGACAACCAACAAGGTGGTTCAGTTTATCAACCACAGGGTCAAAGTGATATTTCACCACCAGTATTTGAAAAGATTTTCAAAAATGCGCGTTTCGCACAAGGCGGCAATGCATTGTTTGAAGGAAAATTACGGGGAAATCCGAAACCGGTTGTTTCTTGGACGCGAAAAGGCGCACCACTTCTCGCCTCCAACAAATACCAGATAAATTACAATGATAATACGGGTGATGTAAGTGCATTGATCATTGCTTTGAATTATGCATTAAAAAAAAAGAAAAAAAAGAACAATTCAATTGTTATTTATAGCTAGGAAATGTCTTAACCATATGCAACATTTAAATTGTAGGTATCACTTTTAATTAATCAAATTGGCCCTGGTGATGAAGGCGAATACACATGCAAGGCTAGAAACCAATATGGTGAAGCAATCTGCTCGGTACATATTCAACCAGAAGGTCAACCGCTACCACCAATGCAAAATGTTCATCAACAATTTTATAGGCAACAAAATCAAACAAATCAATATTCAAATGGCTATTCATTCACATCGATTCATGAAGAATTCAAAGTAGACACATTTGAATATCGTATTTTACGCGAAACGTCATTCAGAGAGTCTGTGACGCGTCGTAATGTTGGTGAACATGATTATAATTTATGCTATGAAGTTGATCGTAATCTTGGACCAGCAACACCACCACAAATAACACAGAAACCTCGTAATTCAAAATTAGTCGAAGGAGCTGATGCCAGTTTTTCGGCCAAAGTGGGTTCGAATCCAAGACCAAGATTGACATGGTTCAAAGATGGACAACGTTTGGTCGAAAGCAACAAACATGAAACGATTTATTCCAATAGTCAAGCAACATTGCGCATTAAAAATTCAAATGCCAATGATTCTGGTCATTATACATTATTAGCCGAAAATCCACAAGGATGTGTTGTTTCATCGGCTGTTTTAGCCATTGAACCAGCCCAAGAAGTGCCAGTCTATCGACAACCAGATGCACAGGCCGAATTGGCCGAACAAGGTAAAGCATTAGCACCAAACTTTATTCGTGTCTTTGAGAATAGAGATGTGACTGAAGGAAAAATGACACGATTTGATTGTCGTATTACGGGCCGTCCGTATCCAGAAGTTTTTTGGTTTATCAATGATAAACAATTGCGTGACGATGCAACGCATAAAATTCTTGTTAACGAATCGGGCAATCATTCGTTGATGATTACAAATGTGAGCCGATATGATGCTGGCACGGTTACATGTGTTGCACGTAATAAAGCTGGTGAAGTAGCAATTCAAGCTCAATTAGGGGTAGTTGAAAAAGAACAAGTGGTCGCACCCAAATTTGTTGAACGTTTCACTACCGTTAATGTACGCGAAGGTGAACCAGTTTTATTGAACGCACGTGCAATTGGAACACCAGTGCCACGTATCACATGGCAAAAGGATGGATGCACATTGGCACCAAATCCAAATCTCTACATTTCGGTTGATGGAGGTGCCACTTCACTTGATATACCAAGAGCAACGGCTGCTGACGCTGGATGGTATCAATGTACCGCTCAAAATGTTGCTGGATCAACAGCAACACGAGCACGTCTTTACGTGCAATTACCTAAAGATCCAACTCCCGAGCAAAGACGTCTTTACTTCCCACGACCGACTAAGATTATCGAACCTGAGTAAGTTTTTCGTTTTGGTTAAATTTAATTTTAGTTGTGGTGAGAGGGAGGCTCATCTATGTAAATTGATTTGTGTATTTTCTTCATTTTTTTTTTATCCAGACCTGAACCCGAACCCGAAGTTATTTATTTGCGACATGTTGAACGTGCAAGACCGCATGCTCGACCTGAAGATGGAGATCGTGTTTACCCACCACCTCAGTTTATTGTACCATTGAGAGATGTCACACAAACTGAAGGTGGTAAGATTCACTTCGAGGGTCGTATTGAACCAGTTGGTGACCCCACGATGTATGTTGAATGGTTTTTGAATGGAAGACCATTAGTTGCGAGTAAGTACCGTAACATTATATCATTCTAATACCTTAATTTATGCGTTATATTTAAAATTTTGTGATTAACCAATGAAATCCGTCGTAAAAATATATTTCATTCTGGAACGACTATTAATCTTTTAATTGTTAGGTGAGAATCAACTGTAATACAAATAAAACTTAATTAATTTGAAATTATGTCATTATTTTTCTAAATTAAAAAAAATGGAAATACCATACCTTTTCTTATATTGATTTTTAAAAATGTTGCATTTTAACATAGAAAGAGAAATGCAACGAATTTCAATTTTTGATTTGATTTTTTTCTATTTTGTTTGTTCGTTTTGGCTTCAGGCTCTCGATCAACGTATACATTTAAGTTTGGATTTATTGCACTTGATATGTTGAGTGTTATCGCAGAAGATAGCGGTGAATATGTGTGCCAGGTATGTTTGTTTTTGGTCAACACTCCTTTCATTCTCTTTCCTCTCCTACGTATTCTTTCAACATTGATTGTTATAATTAGGTCACAAGTGCAACTGGTGTAGCCGAATCGCGAGCCATTTTACAAGTGACACAACGTTCAATGATCGAAAAGTCAACGCAAAATCCGAACAGCTTGCAATATATACAACAATTAGAAGATTATTCAAAATATCAACGAACCGAAAGCGTTGACGAATCAGTTAATCAAAAGCCAGCTTTCATTCGTCCACTGAGGAATTTGGGTCAATTGGAAGAGGGTAGAAATGCCCATTTCGAAGGTCAATTAACGCCTGTAAACGATTCAACAATGAAAGTTGAATGGTATAAGGATGGTCATCCAATCACAGCAAGTTCACGAATCACAGCAATCTTCAACTTCGGCTATGTCTCTCTCAATATATTACACTTACGAGCTGAAGATGCTGGTTCATACACTTGCCGTGCAGTGAATCGTTTAGGAGAAGCCATAAGTACAGCAACGATTCAAGTTTTCTCCCGTAACACTGTTACCGCTGACCTTGGAATTCCCGAACAACAACGTTTTATCGAAAGCGTTGAAGAGCTCGAGTCTCATCAACGCCAACAACAACAAAAATACGCACAGGAGATACCCGAAAGTGTGTCACCACCTGTATTTAAAACACCAATCAAAGATCAATTGAATATTCGTGAAAATGGATTTGCCCATTTCGAGGCTCGCCTTGAACCAGTTGGTGATTCCACATTGAAAGTGGAATGGTTCAAAGATGGACATCCAATTAAGGCAAGCTCAAGAATCACGTCATTCTTTAATTTCGGCTATGTTGCACTGACCATCAAACAAGTGTCGGTTCATGACATTGGCACCTATACATGCCGTGCAATCAATGCACGTGGCCAGGCCACAACATCGGCTCAAATTACAGTTGTTACCAAGAATGACATTAGCTTTGACACCAATCATCCAGGCGGATTGGAAAAAATCCAAAATCTCGAAGACACAAGCAGATACAGCCGCAAGACAGAAGAAGATGTGCAAATTTTGCAGAAACCACGGTTTTTGGGTCCATTGAAGGGAACAAATAAAATTATTGAAGGACAACGCGCTCATTTTGAAGCTCGTGTAGAACCACAAAACGATCTTAATCTCAAAATCGAATGGTATCACAATGGCAAACCCATTATGCCAGCTAATCGCATCCAAATCTATCACGATTTCGGTTATGTCGCATTAGATATACTGAGCGTACGAGCTGATGATGCCGGAGTTTATACTGTAGTTGCCAGAAATCAACTTGGTGAAGAACAATTGTCCGCACAAATGGTAGTTGAAAGTAAGTGTTTAGCATACATTTTTCTTTTCTTTTCTGTTGTTTTTTTTTTCTGTATCTATTCGTCATCTTCAATGAATGGATTATATTTTCTTTTAGCTCGTTCAAGCATCGATACATCATCAATGCATAAAGGCATCTACGAAAAAACACAAAAATTAGAGAATTCGAAATTTGTTGAACCTCAATATGAAATCGAAGAGATTTCAAAATCGAAACCTTATTTCGTTCAACCTTTATCCGACCCAAAACCAGTCAACGAAGGAAAGAACATTCATTTGGAATGTCGTCTTGAACCATTGGGTGATCCAACAATGCGTGTTGAATGGTTCCATAATGGAAAACCAATTACAATTGGATCACGTTTCCGAACATATTATGATTTCGGTTTTGTCGCTTTGGACATTATCCATGCAAGTAGTTTGGACTCGGGCGAATATACGGTTCGGGTATGTTTATTTTTCTTTTGTTTTTGCATTTCTTTTGTTTTTGATGGTCAGATTTTGATGGTTACGCCGGAGGCGTGGCCTAATCTCATACAAAATTTCGCTTATAAAGGATCCTTTTTAAGGTATTATAAAGGAATATTGTATAACAGATTCTTTAGAAGATTATCATACGGTCTTACAAATTTCTCTAAAAACAACTTAAATAAAATGTTGTTGGGAATAATTCTTTTCTACTTCTTTGTAAGTCTGATTGTTTTCATAACTATTAAGACCTAAGTGAAAGACATAAAATTGTGTGATGTTATTGTGTTAAAATCAAAATATGCATATCAAATATTAATTTCGAACCGGTATTTTCTGACGCAACTTTCATATGCAATGGAAGTTTTATGATAAAATCCAATACTTTACCCCTTTCATTTTTTACGCGCCTTTAAAATAAGTTCTAATTAAAGAATGCATAAAAAAATTGAAATTTTTTGAACATTATTTAAAGCAATAATTTGGGCTTAAATTGATTTTGAAAAAGAACAACATATTTTGTTAAATAGCAACGAAAAATATGGCGGATTCTTTTACTGAGAAAAAGAACTTATATAGGCGATAAAAAGAATTCGTATTCTTAATTTTTTTAAAAGCCTATTAAATTCCGTTAAATTCTTTGAAAGACTTTAAAAAGGAACTTTAAAGATATATAAAATCTATATAATTTCTATAATAATATGCTTTATAACCATAGGCAACGAATCATCTTGGCTCCGCACATACATCATCATGTGTTCGCGTCATTGGCCGATCGGATATTGTGACTGATACTCAAAATGAAATGTCTTTGGAACATATTCAAATGCTTGAGGAATCGTCACGTCGTCAAAACCAAGTGGCCGACGATATAACTGTTTTGCAAGCACCACAATTCACTCGTCCATTGCATAACATTGAAACGGTCGAAGGAACAAATGTTCATCTTGAATGTCGATTGCAGCCGGTCGGTGATCCAACAATGAGAGTGGAATGGTTTGTCAACGGTCATCCACTTAAATTTGGTCATCGATTTAGACCAGCTCATGATTTCGATTATGTTGCTTTGGATCTTTTGGGTGTATATGCTGTCGATTCAGGCGTTTACACATGTCAGGTAAAGATTTTCTTTATTATTATTTTAAAAATATTTTTAGTTCTTTAAAAGAAGTTAGAAAGGAAATAAACAAGCCTCGCCTCAATTTTTATCAGTGTTTCATATATCGCTATCAGTATCCGTAAGATAACTGAGAGGGATATATTCAGCCAGATATGAGTGTCAAAATTGCATTAGACACGCTTACCATCTCCAGTGTCTAATTTAGACAGTGTCATATCTGGCTGAATATATCCCTCTCAGTTATCTTACGGATACTGATAGCGATATATGAAACACTGATTTTTATCAATTGTCTATATAACTGTTATATAAAATAAAATGTTTGTCGGGATATTGATACTCGAAAAACAAGGGAATATTAGTTGGGTGGCTCCAAGAGAAAAGACAAAAGAAATTTATTCAATAGTAATACCGTA